AATTTTTTGCTTCATTTTGTTATTTTGGTCTTCAGTTTATTTCCTTAAATTGTAATCTTCTTCCATTTTGTGCGATCCTCTCATCTCACCTCTGATTCCTATTTTCATTTTTTCAGGTTCTAATTTCTCCTTGAGTCAAGACATTTGTGGTATACATTTTGCACAAAAAATGCATTTTATGTGTTTCTTGCATCTATGTTTCTATTCTGACATCTGTCTCCAGCATGTTTCTTTTCTTCTTTCCTTTATACCTTCCTCTCCTCTTTCCTTCCTCTTTTGACTATACTATTTTTGTGTAGTTGCCATGCCATTTGTTTTCATTTAATTTTTTTTTTGATATGGACATTTCTACCTGGATTTTCTCTTGACCTAGATATATTGTGTAGGTCAATTTTCACTGACTTTTTCCTACCTTTTCTGAGATCTCTGTCCTCCTGGCAGCTCTTAGTTGAGGACTGGGTATTTTGTGTCTGCGTTGTCACTGCTTGGGTGGTGGGGAAAAGAGGAAGTTCAGCTGGTGCTGTGGATAGTGGTGTTGTGGGTTGGTTTCTGCTCTTTTTCTATAACTTTGTTAATAGTCTAACACTTGAATTTATTCCACTGAAGTGGGGGCATATCTTATTCCCTTGGGTGGGCAGTAGTGGGGCATGGATTATTTCACCAGTTCAGGGTAGAATTATAGGGACAATCTGCCCAGGTGTTTATTTTCCACACTTAACCCAACTATTCCCAGCAGCCACTCTCACTCCCCTGCCAGATAAAGGAAGGAAAAGATAGACAAAATCCAAAGAGTTTGGCCACTCTGCTATTTCTCAGAAGTGCAGGATGGGGGTAGGGGTTGTGACAGCTTCAGTTGGGGCTTTCTATGTGTCTCCTGTCACTCACTCTATCAGAAGGGATTGTTTTATTTGTTTTCTCTTACTTTCCTTTCTGGTAAGTCCCTCTGTGTTGTTTGGGATCATCAGCTCTGGTAGAATACTATGCTGTCATTCTGCTTCTCCTCTCCCCTCCTCCTCAGTACGAAAAGCAAATAGCAGCACAGGCAGTTTTTTGTCTTGTTGGAGTGTTCTTACGGTGGGATGGATATCCTTCTACTCTGGAGAAACTTTCTGAATCGCCTCTGCAGCTGCCTGCCCACCCCTCGGTCCACTTCTCTCCCGGCTCTGTAGTCACAAAAGTGACTACAAAAGTTTGCCACAACGTTTCCTCTCACATCTTCCTCTCAGTACTGATTCTTTGAGGGAGGAAGAAAGGGTTATCAAGGGTGGGAGCTCTACATTTATTTCTAGTAAGTTCTGTTTTTCTCTGGCCATTATTTTTTTTTTTTTTTTTTTTATCAGTGTAATCATTTTATTAACAAAAGGAACCCATGGGGTTCAGACAAGAGTACAAAATACAATCTCCCCACCCCACCCCCCGGGTTAAATTGTTACATTTTTATAATAAAAATAAAAAGCTTTCATAGTTAACTTATCAAAAACATAACCCCTGCCTATTGAGTTTATTGTGCAAAACAAAAACATGAAAGTAAAGTTCTGCCCATGGAAGAATTTTGTGTGCCAGAAGATGCACTTTCTCAATTTCAAAATTTTTGCATCAAAAAGAAAATTCTAAGGCCACAGTTTCTTTGCAAACTAAGCAAGAGGAGAATAAACAAGCAAATAGCAGCTAAATTTTTACCTTCATTCCCAAGTATTCTCTGTTCCAATGTAGAATCTTCTACCTTCATCAAATAATTTGATTATAGAAAGGTATGCAGTTTCAACGTACTGCTTAAGGTCAGACATACCAATATCAATTCAATAAGGCAAATCATACCTTTTAGCTATTCTCGTAAGTGCTAAAAAATCAGCTTTGTTTTAATTTGGTAGGTGCACTTCATTTCTTTAAAAAAGGTGACAAAACGATCCTACTGAAGGATTCCAGTAAGCAGCTACTTTTCTACTTGCAGCCAGATAGATAATTAAACTTTCTCTTCCTCCATACCATTTTGTTTTGTTTCTTTTACTTTGTTTTGGTATCATGGAGATGGAAAATGTCTTGACAAAACATGTAAACTGCAAGTCAGAGGTCAAGAAATAGCTGAAGGTGATCTTTTTTTAAAGTAAAAATAAAACTGTTTAGACAGCACATAGCTAACAAACACACAAAAACAAAGCAAAATAAAAGATCACCAAAAAACCAAAGCAGGGAAAAAAGATTTGTGACAATTTCAGTACCACAATTATTGGTAAAACAGTTTGTATCGTGATTTTCATTCAGTGGCTTAAAAGATGAAAGAACGGCTTAAGATGCTTATGTGATTACAGAGAAGAGACGTATACCCAAGGGTGAAAAGCGTACATTTACCTAATGTTTGTATAAAAATCCCTGATCAAATGTCCAGCTAATTTTTACATACAAAATTTAACCTTAAAACTTTTCTAACGGAATATACTGACTGAAAGAAAAGCTAATCGTTCAGCTGAACGAAGTACAGTATTCTGCATGGGAAGCACCAGCGTTTCCAGATCTAACCCTCAGGACATGGAGAAAACCAAAGTACTGGGCTGGTCCAAAATCTCTATCATGGGAACCCCTACCTCCCTTCTACTTAGTGTACAGAAATGCTCTCAGCTCACAAAACCAACAGATTAAAGTAAAAACAAGTGAACATGTGACTGTGACTAGGAGGGGACAGAGGGACAGTAAAAACACTGCTCAGTCTTTTAGCAGCAACACAATCTTTTGGAACGACCCCAGGCACCTGATCATCTGGCCATTATTTTTAAAGATTATTGCCTTTTCCTGTACTTGAGAGTTGCTGGTCTATTTTTAGTTGACTTTAAATTTTTTGTTGTTGTTATTGTTGTTAATTTGGTTGAGATCAGGAGGGTGGCAGGTTCTGGGATCACTCTATTTATTTATTTATTTATTTATAATTTTTATTTACTTATTTATTTTTGGCTGCGTTGGGTCTTCGTTGCTGCGAGCGGGCTCTCTCTAGTTGTGGCGAGTAGGGGCTACTCTTCGTTGTGGTGCGTGGGCTTCTCATTGCAGTGGCTTCTCTTGTTGCAGAGCATGGGCTGTAGGCACGTGGACTTCAGTAGTTGTGGCATGAGGGCTCAGTAGTTGTGGTTCACTGGCTCCAGAGCGCAGGCTCAGTAGTTGTGGCACATGGGCTTAGTTGCTCCACGGCATGTGGGATCTTCCCGGACCAGGGATCGAACCAATGTCCCCTGCATTGGCAGGCGGATTCTTAACCACTGCACCACCAGGGAAATCCTGGGATCACTCTTAAGACAGCCATTTTAGCAGGGCTAGAAACCCATCCCTTTTTGGGGAGTGGGGTTCTACCTAGTGGACTTTTCTAGGCAAAAGCCCCTCGTATGACTTCCCTGTGATTATTAGACCTCATACGGTTATGTCAATCATAGATTTCTCAGGAGCCCACTGCTTCATTATCTCTCTGCTGGGTGCAGTGGGGAATACATAAAGGTAGAGTGTGACCAGAGGCACCACAAGGTTTGCCATCTGTCACATGGAAACGTTAGACAGCAGTAAGTGTCAGGACAGAACCCAAGAGGTGACAGGTAACTAAGAGAACTAGCTACCTGATATGAGTCGAATCTCATATCCAAAGAAGGATCGCTGACTGCCCTGACTCTGACAGATGGTCCTCCAGACTTTGCTGGATTCCTTGAGTACCAGGAAACTCATGAACACTGTTCAGTTATCAGGAAGCTCAAAGTATTTAAACGTTGTTTACCTGGAGCCAAACTATACCTCCTCTTCTCTCTGCATGGTCTCCCTTGAGGAGGCTTCTAATTCACATGACTCCCAATCTTAGCTCCATTTAGATGGCTACCACAACCTTGCCCGTAGTCCTGATCTCTGGCCTGGACTACAGTTCTGGAAATCTGTTGGGTCAAACCCATGAAAGACGGCAAAACATGGATAACTAAAAGTCCTGCGTGCAAATGGAAAATAACCGTTGTATTGGACAAAGATACCTGATTTTGTTCAAGTAAAAGAGATTCAAGGCTTTTAATCCTAAATGTGCTGTGAGCCCATAGTGTAGGGCACAGCAAGTCAGTGCTAAATGAATAACTGATGTCAATGCCAAGACCACTTGCCACTGTGTTCCTGAGCTAAGAGCTTGTTAGAGCACATCTGGGCTTCTGGGACAGCAACAACCAGAATGTGTGCAGTCAGGGGGTGGCATCTAGAGGCCGCAGTGAACAGTTGGGAAAATCGGGCTACAACCCAGAGAAGGGAAGCTTTGGAGAGGTACAAGAGCTGTCTTCAAGCAGGAGAAAAATTAGTGGGAAAGAGAGTACTTGGTTTGTTCTTTCTGCCTTCAGAGCACAAACCCACGACAGGTTTAGGAGATTAAAAAAAAAAAAAAGGCTATTTATTGGTTCTGTTGACGAGGAGGCATCTATTTCTGAGATCTGTAAAAGATCTAATGACCTTAGCTTTACTCTGGAAAAACCCTGTTTCTACTCCTATCTATGGGGATGTGGAACCAGATGCTGATTTCTAAGTAGGACACAGATGATAGAACTTCTGAATTCATCTGAGGAAGAATAGTTGGGCAGCAGGCCTCTTGAGAAGCCTGCCAAAGAGAGGGGACTTTTCCAAACTTTATAGCCAAAGAGCCAACAATTTTCCAGTTGCCAGAAACCAACCTCAGACCCCAGACACAAGAGCCTGCTTGGTACCATGGAGAGCAATGGGAAGAACATAGAACTTAGAGCAGATAGAATTATTTGAAGCCTATACTATTTACCAGTTCTGTAACCTTAAGCAAGTTATTAATCTTGCTGAGTCTTAGTTTACCCACCTGAAAAATGGGATGATTAAGGTCTAGCTCATTGGGTCATTGTGGGGATAAAATAACAATTATAAAGCCCCTGGCATATAACCAGGTTCCAATAAATGTTAAAGCTATTCCTTACCCCCTGAAGCAAATTGCCAAGAGTATTACATTTTATAAATTAAACACTTTTTTTTTTCAGGGCCCCCTTCTGAACTCTCCCCAGCTATTGAGGAAGAAGAGTCAAAGAGTGGCCTGGATGTCATGCCCAATATTTCTGATGTGCTGCTTCGCAAACTGCGGGTCCACAAGTCTCTCCCTGGAAGGTAAAATTGGGGCATGGGTTGCACAAGACCCCACATTGGGTGGCCCCTGTATTCAATTGTAGATAGGACACAGGAGCACCAGACTTGATTTTTGACCCCAGAAGGGTCAAAGTCCAATAGTTCAGACAGGACTAATGCACCCAAAACGAAAAGAATAATAAAGGGCCAGGTGAGGTGGTTCAAACTCAAAGAGGAGCAGGTGGGGTTCATAGGTGAACAATGCCATCAAGAAAGTGAAAAGACAACCCCCAGAATGGGAGGAAATATTTGCAAAGCACATATATGATAAGGGACTTGTTTCTATAATATATCTTCGAAGAACTCTTATAACTCAATAAAAAAAACAACTAATTTAAAAATTTTTTAATTGAAGTGAGGTTGATGTACAGTATTATATGTTACAGGTATACAACAGAGTGTTCACAATTTTTAAAGATTGTACTCCATTTATAGTTATCATAAAATATTGGCTATATTCCCTGTGTTGTACAATATATCCTTATAGATTATTTTATACATAATAGTTTGTACCTCTTAATCCCCTACTCCTATCTTGCCCCTCCCCACCTCCCCCCGAACTGGTAACCACTAGTTTCTTCTCTATATCTGTGAGTCGGCTTCTTCTTTTGTTATATTCACTAGTTTGTTGTATTTTTTTAGATTCCACATAAGTGGTATCATACAGTATTTTTCTTTCTCTGTCTGACTTATTTCACTTAGCATAATACCCTCCACGTCCATCCATGTTGCTGTAAATGGCAAAATTTCAATTCTTTTTTATGGCTGAGTAGTATTGACAACTAATTTTTTTAAGTGGGCAGAATATTTAAATAGACATTTCTTCAAAGAATATATATGGGGGTCAATGAGCACATGAAAGGATGCCCAGCATCAGTAGTAATTAGGGAAATGCAAATTCAAGTGGTTTATCATGAATAACAAATGATAAATTCATTAAATGAATGATTTATCATTTATCATAAATGATTAAAATGAGATATAATTTTATATCCCTAGAATGGTTTTAATAAAAAAGATGGGCAATAACAAATGTTGGTGAGGATATGGAGGAATTGAAATTCTCAGTAAAATGGTACAGCCACTTTGGAATAACAGTTCATCAAAAAGTTAAACAGGGCTTCCCTGGTGGCACAATGGTTGGGAGTCCGCCTGCCGATGCAGGGGGCGCGGGTTCGTGCCCCGGTCCAGGAAGATCCCACAGGCCGCGGAGCGGCTAGGCCTGTGAGCCGTGGCTGCTGGGCCTGCGCGTCCGGAGCCTGTGCTCCGTGGCGGGAAAGACCACGGCAGTGAGAAGCCCACATACCGCAAAAAAAAAAAAAAAAAAAGTTAAACATACAGTTATTGTATGGCCCAGCAATTCCACTCCTAGGTATATAACAAAGAGAAATGAAAATATATGTCCACACAAAAACTTGTATGTGAATGTTCAATAACAAGCATTTTTCATAATAGCTAAAAATGGAGACAAACCAAATGTCCATCAGCTAATAAATAAATAAAATCGGATATATCCGTAAAATGGAATATTATTCAGCCATAAAAATGAAATACTTATATAATCTACCAGATGGATGAACCTCAAAAACATTTTGCTAAGTGAAAGAAATCAGTCATGTGTTGTATGATTCCATTTATATGAAATACCCACAATAGGGAAATCCACAGAGACAAAGTAGGTTAGTCATTGTATAGGGCTGGGGATTGGGGGAGTGACCACTAATTGGTATAGGGTTCCTTTTTGGGAGGATTAAAAAGTTCTAAGATTGACTGTAATGATGGTTGTACAATTTTATGAATATACTAAAAACTACTGAATTGCAAATGTAAGAGCATGAAAAAAAGGAAAAACAGTAAATGCAAAGGCCCTGGGGCCACAACAACGTAAGTGTGTTTGAAGAGCAGAATGGCAAATGTGGCTGAAGAGTGGGAAGAATCCGGTAGGGGCCAGTTCACAGAGGCCTTTGATTTTATTCTAAGGCCTATTAAGGCAGTTTGAATTCTGAGGCACATCCAGAGTGGTCTCCTTGTACGTCACCTGCTAGGCCTCCACCTTTTTGGAGGGTAATGGCTCTGCCCCTCCCTGCCTCTGCCAGTTCATGAGGCATAGCTCTCTGCTTCAGGAACTGACCTTGTCATGTGGCTTCTTTACCTAAACCACACCTCCCTGGGTCCTCAGGGCCTTGTACATTTTTCAAAAATGCGTTCTATAGCAAAAAAGCAGAACGTGAGTAATCAAGGTAGAAAAGTAAGTTTGGTTAATAATCGATGAAAACGTAATTTTCACATAATATCCAAACAAAGCCAGGAATCAAACGCAAGCTCAGTGAGTTTGATAACCCACTTAAGCAAGATGTGCATGTCCTATATGACAGCTGAGATTGTGCTGGCTGGCCCCCAGAGGAAAGGGCCTGACGGGTGGGCCTGTGGCCAGAACTGCAAGCCTCAAACAGCTTTGCACTTGTTTATCTCGTGCTCTGTACTCTGCTGACTTGATGGCCATGGGGTCTTGTTGCCTCATCCTGACAGGAAGGTTCTCATAGTCCCTTGTCAGGGGTGAGAACCAACCCCTTGCAGAGATTGCTGACCCCTACCTTTGCTCTCGGGGTCCCTCCACACCCGTCAAAGGGAGGAAGCTGTGTTTCCTGAGAACCTTATCGATGGCATGCTGGTTGCCAAGTCCTGTGACGCCAGCAGGACTCCTCCCCGTTCTCCCGCCCCAGCACAGGAAAGGGCCCGGTGCGTTATGTACATCGTCCGGGTTTCAGAGCAGGGCTTGCTTTAGTCGCCAGCCAGAGCAGCAGCCGCGCAAGGGTGCAGAGCGGAGGATGCTCGCTGTGGGAGCCACACCCTCTGCACCAGCCGGGGCTCTCTCGGCCGAACTCTGATTCCAGCCATCAGAAGAGGCTCTTGCTGTGGAGAAGAGCTCTGGCCACTCTTCCCTACCGTCTATTCTCTGGCTCACATGCACCCTTGTCACACCCCTCAGAGGCAGGAGGAGGGTCAGGCTTTGCAGACCTGGGCAGCCCCAGAAAAATTATAATGGCTGTCCAGATGTATACAACTTATGAAGTATAGAGCTTGTATAGTCTGTTATTAAGTCCTCACAGCATGCCTGTGAGTTAGTCATAATAATAAACATCTCCTGAGTGCCCGCTGAGTGTGGATGTCATATGAATATACACATAGGTACATATATATACACATACATACACGTGTGGATGTCATATATAGGTGAATATAGACACATATATATACACATTTATACATACGTATATATATTCCTTATAAGACTCCTGCAAGGTAGATATTATTCCCAATTGACAGATGAGATTAAGTAACTTAGATTAAATAACTCATCCAAAGTCACACTTAGTAGAGGCACTGGTGGAGCACTGACCCCAGGATCTAATAGTTTCCGCCATACTTCCTCTGCAGGAGTCACTATCTTGGCGAATATCTCACGTGTTACAGAACTCACACAAAGGGTACCCTGCATCTTTTCCATCTCGCCAGCCCTGCTTACTCTAATTCCTGGAAACACCTGGTCTGCATGCTGTTCAAAGGCACCTTTTGGTTTATTTCAAAGGTTGGATAAAGTTCATTTGCATGTCTTTTCTTTTTCACAGTGCCCCTCCACTCACTGAAAAGGAAGTTGAGGTAAGTAACTCCAGCGTTTTATGAAATTGAGTACTTGAGCTTGAGTGGGTTCATTCAGAACATTTCCTTCTCCAGCCTCTGCTCCTGACATTTTTATACAAACATGAGAATGAGTGGCCATGGGGGGAATATGGGCATCGTGATCAGCCCTGTTGAGCTACCAAGCCCCCGACCACCACTCCAGTTAATGGAAGATTTTGACGAATTTCGTCAGGGGTGAGACAGTAGCTGGAAGTTCCACATTTCTTCAACGGTTGTTTGTTTTCTTTAAAAGTATGACTTAGATACACAGAGCAGCTGGGAGGCTGCAGAACTGAATCAAATTTATTTCAAAATTATTAAAAGATGGTCAGATTTCACGTTTCAGACTTTGATCTGGAGGAAGAAGGTGCTTTCCTTCTGAGGGTTTCAGACGTAAGGAAGCCAGCTCAGCCAAGGTGGTGGCTATGCTGTCAGCTCTCCCACCTTCCCTGATTCTCCCATGATTCTCCTCGGGGCCTCCTTGTCTCTGTAGAGAAGCTGTCCCAATGGGGCTGGTGAGTGAGCTGAGAGGAATTTGCATTTCGTTCTGTCGAAGGGGTACATGGTCAAAGAGAATGCATCGGAGGTGAGACAGTGAGGACCTCCGGCACCAGCAGTAGTTTGTTTCCATGACAATTACATTGGAATTGATAGAAGGAAGGGAGCAAGAACATGGATGATTCCAGAATACTTCACTCCGGGTTGGGAGGATGGAAGATTTTACAGTTTACCCTTGATAACAAGAAAACGAACATACACTTACTGAGACCCGGTGGACCACATAAGCACAGGGAGATGGACTGTGTAAAATATCTGGCACAGATAGTAACAATTACCTGGCACACAGACGTAGAACTCACAGTCTTTGGCACACACATATCCATCCTTTCAGCTGACCCCCCCATCAGCTCTGAGAAACAGGTAGAGCAGGTAGCAGAACAAAGGAGGAAACTGAGGGATTAAATAAGTTATCTGAGATCCCAGACCCAGTGCTTAGCAGAATCAGCATTTGGAGTCAAGTGTTCTGACTGACTTCAGGGCTCTTTATATCACTGCCATTAAGGGGATAACCCAGTTATAGAGAACTAAATATTGAGCATTATTGATAAACTTGACTGAGGCTTGGGCAAGACAGAGAATCCCCACCCGCTGACGCTGGTGGTGATGGCCGCGGGCACTTTGGTTAAGGGTGCGCTCCTGTCCTCAGGTGTGTGCTGACACAATCTGTGCTCAGCATGGTGAGAGGAGCACAGGCTTTGGAATAAAATCGTCTGAGGCTGAATTCTGGCTCTGCTACTCCCTTGTGACACCTTGAACAAGTTAATGACCTCTCTGCTCTCGGTCTCTTTACCCATAAAGTGGACATAACAGTTCCTATGGCAGAGGATTGTTGAGGGATTAAACAAGCTAAGGTGCGTAAAACTCCTGCCAGTGCTGGCGTATAGCAGATACTCAACAGGGAGTAGCTTTCAATGTGGCCCTCATCATCATCATCATCGAGCAGTTCAGGGTCTTCAGTTCTCCGTCTGGAGATGTCTGCCCCCCGTGGGCCATGTTACATGAACTTCAGATGCTCAGGCAGAGTCAACTCACCCTAAGGGTGTAAATCTTCTACCACTTGACACAGGCAAGGTAAATGAGGGCTGTAAAAATGAAGGCCACTGCTTCCTTCCTGTGTAGAGTCCATCTGTCTATTTCTCCTCCCCAGTAGTTTCCTATTAGACCAGGAATTCCATGTCTGATCAACACCACCTTTCAAAGTTCATTCATGCAGGCTGCATTTTTGGCATGGAATATTTGTTCCAGAAAGCTTCTCCTAACAGGATCATACTTGGCTTTGTTTAATCTCCTGGCAGCTTGTAAAAGCTGCTTTCAGCGTAGGATTTGGAATATTCAGATAAGATGCTGGTTGAGGTTTGCTCTGAGTCAACAGGCCTACATCTCAAGTGGGGTTTCTTGAAATACAGTGGTTTCATGTGAAATCTCCAGAACCCGCATGCCATAAATCCTAGCACGAATCCAAACTGCTTTCGCAATCAGCTGTGTTGGCCTGAGTTTATCTAAACCCATATACAGGATGTTATTTTCTTGACATTCAGAAAAAGCAAAGTGTTATTCTCTTATTCTTTTTCAGTAAAATGTGTTTGGTCTTCTGGTCCTGGGAAGGCCCTAGCCTGGACCTCAGGTTACTATTTCGCCATCTTTTGTGCAGTTTACTTCATTAAGGGAGAGTTTCACTTGTTCTTGGCTGCTTTGGGGGCTGGTTCCAGGAGCTGATTTAAAATCCTTGAGCAAAAACTCCACCAGCAGCCTTGCTCCCAGCACTAACTCCTCCTAGCACCTCTCCAACACTCTTGTTCCCAACAGAACGTGTTTGTACAACTGTCCTTGGCCTTTAGAAATGACAGCTACACCCTAGAATCTAGAATTAACCAGGCGGAAAGGGAACGCAACCTGACAGAGGAGAACACAGAGAAGGAACTGGAACACTTCAAAGCTTCCATTACGGTAATTGTGGAGCCTGATTGGGGAATCCTTGCAGGAGACACTTTCCCCAAGGGCTGTGCCGGCTCTCCTGCTTTTCTCAGTCACCAAGTAGAGTCTCCTGAAGTGAGAAATGGGGTCAAGGCCCTGAGCCAGGCCGTCTTCCTCAGAGCTGGGCGGAGCTGAGGCCGAGATCCCAAAGGCTTGGTTACCTCAGGGCTGTGGTTAAGGCCTCTGAGCCCTTGGCAGCCTCTTAGGAGGGGGCTGGATGACCTGGGATGGCAAAGGGAGCACCCTGGGGACCAGAGACCTGGAAGTGATTCCCTTCCTTCAGGCCAGCCAGCTACAGAGTGTCCACATTGGGCTTCTCCAATCCCAGAAGTAGCCATCGCCTGGGCCCTGCCGAGGCCCCTCCTCTCGGCCAGGATGGGGCCAGGGCCTGTCTTGTGACAGCCCTGGTCAAGTCTTGGTCTGTGAGGACCCCATGTGATGTTCCTTCTCCCTCCTCAGTCCTCAGCTTCACTCTGGCACCACTGTGAGCACCGGGAGACCTACCAGAAGCTGCTGGAGGACATCGCTGTCCTGCACCGCCTGGCTGCCCGCCTCTCCAGCCGAGCCGAGATGGTGGGGGCCGTCCGCCAGGTGAGCTCTGCTCTGTCTGCAGTAACTGGAGCAGGGATGTAAGCAGTGGCAACTACAGATACTGCTTATGGATGGCTTCCTCTGTGCCAGACATCCTACGTCCATAATCATAGTCGTCTCAGTGTATTTTTGATGGACCACTATATTCTTGAGGTGCTCCCCAGTAAAAGCTTTCTGTGGATACCTACATTTGAGAACTGCTGCATACTACCTTCCTTTCTTGGAGACTTCTAATGTATGTTGGCATAAGCAAGGCTTTGAGAAGTCCTGTAATGAAAAAGTCTGTTTAACATTACCGACGTATTTCTCAAATGTATTTGAGTAAAGAATCGCTTCCCCCTTCTTGTTCCCACAAAATACCTATTCAACTCCCAGGGAACTAGTATTTGGCAAAATGTGCTTTAGGAAAAACTGCTTTGTTTCATTAATCCTCCCAGCAACTCTGTAAAGTAAGTAATCTTATCCCCTGATGAAGACGTGAAGTCTCAGAAAGGTAATAGCACTAGCGTGGGGCAAAACTGGGGTGCAGGCCCAAGTCTGGCCCCCTCGCAGCCACTTTGAAGTCATGAGGCACTCAGGGTGCCACCCTGATCCAGCATGGTGTTGTGGGGTCAGACTGCCTGAGTTCTCATCCTGGCTCCACAAGGATTCACTGTGTGGCCTTGGGCCTCTGTGCTCCAGCTTCTCCAACCGTAAAATGCGGATGCTGACAGTACCTGCCATACAGGGCACTGTGCCACTTGTAAAGCACCTGGATGTTGTTATCACTGTTGCTGTCACTGTGGACCCATGTCCTGCTGCGTGGTTTGCATGACAGGGGTGTTCCTGGGGCCCAGCCCTGGGCAGTTCTCATAGAATGAAGGAAGGACAAGCCACGGGGTTGTCCCACCCGTGTGCTTCCGGCGAAAGGGCACCCAACTCAGCAGCAGCACCCAGGAAGCCACTCCAGCTGGGAGCAGCACCAAAGGGAGGGCTTTAGGGAAGTGGCTGGTCTCAGCTCAGGGTTGTGGGGACTTTGTCCAGGGGACAGTCACTGAGCGTGTCCCTCTGTGGACAGGCAGGCCGCGGGCAAGGATCTCTGAGGGATGCACGGGGTGTCAGTAGAGAAAACTCTTCCCCATTTTGCACAGCCCTCGTGAAAGTGTTTCTCAACCCACGCACGGCTCACTCCAGCCTTCACCCTTCTCCAAGTGGCTTCCGTGTCTCTGTCCTCACTGTCTTCTCTGGTTCCACTGGACTGGTTCAGGCACTCATCCTCTCTTCTCTTGTTGCTCTTGCTGCCACCAGTCTCGCACCCTTCAGTCCAGTCTCCACTGGCGACCTGATTATGACACTCCCTTACTTTAAGACATTCGATGGCTCCCCTCTTCCTTCAGAATAAGTCCAAATTCCTTAGTCTAGCATTCAAGGTCCTTCACAACCCAGCCCTAACTCACCTTTTCTTCTTGCAAACAAACCCAGCCATTTGCTGATTCCTACATGAGTAGGATGACCTGTGCTTTCCTGGCTTTCCAGACAATTCTGGTATATGTTTATTGTCCCAGCATAATTCGTGATGGCATCCCCTTTCACTCTGCAAAGGATCCTGTCTGGAGGGGAAATCCTTACCTCGATAGAAGCCTTGTGATGTCCTGCCTCTGGACCTTGGCTCTTGGAGTTCCCCGGCTAATGCTCTTTGTCTCTCCTGCCCATAGCTATGTGCCCAGACGCTACAGCACTTCACTTCGTCTCAAGAAGCCTCCCCTGACCCATTCTCTGCAAGCAGGGATGACTCTGCTCCCTCTCATCTCCTGAGGCTTTGTGGCTGGGCTCGTCCTTGTTATCCCTGAGTGCAGGTGCCTGAGCCCCTGTCTCAACTCACATCCCCGACAGCAAACTCTTAGAGGGCAGAGTCACGTCTGATTGGTCCTTGTATCCTTTCAAGTCCCCCAGCCCAGAGCTTGGCTCAGAACAAACAGTGCTGATGAGCTTTTCATCCAAATGCCCTGTGTGTTCACACTCTTCTTCCCTGTAGGAAAAGCGCATGTCGAAAGCAACAGAAGTGATGATGCAGTATGTGGAGAACCTGAAGAGGACGTATGAGAAGGACCATGCAGAGCTCATGGAGTTTAAAAAACTTGCAAATCAGAATTCAAGCCGCAGCTGTGGCCCCTCTGGTAAGAAACTGGGTTCCTGCCCACCCCCAACCTTGGCCCTGTAATATTGGGTCCCTGATGGATCCAGGCTAGCATCATACCTATGGGACAGCCCCAGGACCTGTGTTAGGGTGAGCAAAGCTTGCTGCCTGGCCCAAGGCTGCCCACAGGGCCTCACAGTCACTGTTCCTGTGAGCTTGGGGGCCTGGAACCAGAAAGCATGAATGGCCCCCAAGCAACTCCTAATAAAAGTAACCAGAGAAGCTGATCACTGATGCAAAGCCCATAGGCTGCAAGAATTCAACCTCCTTTGTGAGAGTGGCACACCCCAAACCTTACAACCTTTGTGCTTTGGGGTCCCCACTTTGGGCAGCACATGCTAAGGAAATTGCACTTTATCCTGGAAAGCATTAGGGATCCAACCAAAGATTTTAATCAGGGAAATGACATGATCATATATAGTTTAGAAGATTCCCTCTGGCAGTGATGTGGCAATTACATGACTGGGGTAAAGCCAGAGACAGGGAAACCCACAAAGCGACTATTATAGTAATGCAGGTGAGAGATGGAGTCTGGGCAGAGGGGTGGAGTGAGAGCCTGGGTAAAGGAGATACTGCTGAGATAACTTTTAGACTCGTGGGCAAGACAAATGCTTTAAATAAATACTCTTTTTAAAAGAAGTTCTATACAGATTGCTATAGAAGCACAGAGGAAGGGCCATCTGGTTCCACCTGATATTGAGTTGCTGTGGTTTTGTTTTGTTTTGTTTTTTATTGAAGTATAGTTGATTTACAATGTTGTGTTAATTACTGCTGTACAGCAAAGTGACTCAGTTATACATATATATACATTCCTTTTCATATTCTTTTCTGTTATGGTCTATCACAGACTTTTTTTTTTCAGGAGAATATCATTGTTATTTATTTATTTATAATTTTTTTAACATCTTTATTGGAGTATAATTGCTTTACAATGGTGTGTTAGTTTCTGCTTTATAACAAAGTGAATCAGCTATACATATACATATATCCCCATATCTCTCCCCTCTTGCGTCTCCTTCCCACCTTCCCTATCCCACCCCTCTAGGTGGTCACAAAGCACCAAGCTGATCTCCCTGTGCTATGCAGCTGCTTCCCACTAGCTATCGGTTTTACATTGGTAGTGTATATATGTCCATGCCACTCTCTCACTTCTTCCCAGCTTACGCTTCCCCCTACCCGTGTCCTCAAGTCCATTCTCCACGTCTGCGTCTTTATTCCTGTCCTGCCCCTAGGTTCTTCCTGACCTGTTTTTTTTTTTTTTTTTAGATTCCATATATATGTGTTAGCATACGGTATTTGTTTTTCTCTTTCTGACTTAGCTCACTCGGTATGACAGACTCTAGGTCCATCCACCTCACTACAAATAACTCAATTTCGTTCCTTTTTATGGCCGAGTAATATTCCATTGTATATATGTGCCACATCTTCTTCATCTATTCATATGTCGATGGACATTTAGGTTGCTTCCATGTCCTGGCTATTGTAAATAGTGCTGCAGTGAACATTGTATCACAGACCATTGAATATAGTTCCCTGTGCTATACAGTAGGAGAGTTGCAGTGTTTTAAAGTAAAAGTAGGAGTTCTCCAGGCTAAAGGGGGAAATACACCCCAAGTGGAGGAAATAGCATGTGCAAAGGCGTGGAGGTTGGGCTGAGAAGACTATGAAACAAACAGTCTGCTGTGGTTTGGGGTGTTGGAGCGTGACAATGACATGTTGAAGGTAAGACTTGTTAGACCAGGGCCACATGCCAGGCCCTGTGAACAATCTGGGTCTTTGTCCTCCAGGCAGTGAGGAGACACCGGTGGGTTTACACCAGCTGACATAGTCAGATTTTATTTTTAGAAGATTGCTGACTTCAGAGTGGACGATGCATTAGGAGAGTGTGGACACTGAGGGATGGAGAGACGCGTTAGGAGGCTCTGCCGCAGTCCAGGAGGAGGAGGACGGTGCTGTGGACCAGTATCTCTCCTTGGGAGCTTGCCAGGGTTTGGGCTCTGACTGATGAGGTGTGGTGTTAGCAGGAGAAAACAGACCTTTTAGCAACAGGAATCCCTGTTGGAATGCAAACATCCGTGTTACCAAGAGCAGAAGGAGGGAAAGTACACAAAGTATAACAGATGGAGAAACCTTTATAAACAGGAGGTTTCACAAGTTTCCTGGGGAATATCAGTGACGCTTCCCAGGGTCCAAAGGCAGTGTACACATGCTCCAGACCGTCTGCTTTGGTCTTGGCAGCAAGGCTCCTGACCCACATGCATCTGGGCCTCTAAGAAATCTCTCTCTGTCAGTGTTGGAAGTTGGAGAAGCTACCACCAAAGAAATCCTAACACGGGCACTCTTACAATATTGTCCTGCAAGGTGCAGGGTCTCCTGTGAACCACCTTACCCACGATTTATGGAATGAGCACAGTTGCCCGTGAGTCTCATCCATTCATTCTACAGGTGTTTATTGAGCATCTCCGGTGTGCCCACGTGATACTGGAATACAGAGGTGAAGTGTACCCAGCCCCCGGCCCAGAGGAGTTCCCAACCTGTGGTGAGGGCAAGGCAGTGTAGGCAGTGCTGTGATAGATGTAAGCAGATTTTATGGGCGCACATGGCAGAGTCCCACGTTCAGTCTGGGGGCCTGAGAAAGTGCTTACAATCAGATGGGAGCCGGTAGTGGAGTGTTGAACGGTGAATGGGTAGTTTTCACACATCTGTTCCCACTCCACTGTTTTTCCAAGCTACACCTCAGCTTGGGCTGGTGCGGAGGGGCCAGATGTGCCCATCAGATACTCTGTGACCATTCCCTGATGGTGGTTGTTCTTTAAGCTTTTATATGACTTCTTTGTCATATATGCAGTCTTTGTCTGTGCCTGAAGACTACAGTGAAAAAAAAAATCTCTGATTTCAAGAAAGGTGATACACATTCAGAAGAAAAAAAAATCTATTTTTTTTTCTGAATATGAAACATGCTGATTGCCTGCATTTTGGATTATTTCCTTAAGGTAGATTTCCAGAAGTGTAAACACTAGCTCAGGGGAAAGGAATATGTAGAAGGCTCCTTTTTTTTCTGTATAAATAAGATCTTTATTAAACAAACTGAAACAGAGAATTGAATAGTCACTGGGGAGCTTTAGGGGAAAAGTCAGTTTTACCAAATATCCAGAGAGGGAAAAAAACACAAACTTCAGTTGGCAGGAGTTGTGACCAGAATCATCAATAAAGTAGTGTCATTGCAATGCCTAGCTTTTAGAAGAAATTAATCAAGAGTCAATATAAATATCTCATAGATTCTCTCTAGTCATAGTACTCCAGGTTTACCTTTAAAAAATGGGAAACAAGTGAGGTTTGTTCTCAAGGCATCTTTTCCCACTTAGAAACCCTCATGCTGTCCCTTGACTGAAATATATCCCTGAAATCTTACCTTTGTCCGTTCTACTGTAAAAAATGCCCCAGTTTTGTGTTCAATTCCTTGTATATTTGCTCTCTATATTTAATGGTGACAAACTAATATATGCTCAGTTTTCTGTGATTAATAAAGAACAATCATTCCCTCTATCAGGTGGATTTGCATTTTAACGGGGAATTCTGATGACAGACAGATTCAGAGTTTATGTCACTAATCTTTTTTTTTCTTTATACAGCAGGTTCTTATTAGTTATCTATTTTATACATATTAGTGTATATATGTCATATAAGGCTCTTAAAGCAAATTATTTCCAAATAACCCATTGATATTTCCATTTAATGGGTAACGGTGATGCTCAATTCATTGTGCCGTGGACATTCTTGGCTTTTCTTTTTGAAAATATTTTTGACTTTGATGGGCCAATATCGTATCTCTTCCCATAGTTTTAATTTGTATTTCTTGACCTTTTCAAATGTTTCTTGGGCATTTGTATTTCTACTTGTGTAAATTCTCTAATTCTTTGCCCACTTGTGACATTGGTATTTTATTAACTGTATGAACTCTTCATACACAAAGAATATTTTCTGGTTCTGCTGTTTTGGCTGACTGGAAAACTTGAAAATCCTTTGACTACAAATACTTAGAAATTTCTGCTGGATAAAGTGAAGCAAACATTAGTCTAAAAGAATAGCTGACTCCACAAGAAAAGAAATTGAAATACTCAGATACAAGAAAAGAAAAGAGAACTGAAACCAAGCTGACCCTGCAGCTTTCCTTGAGGATAAGAGTCAGCCTCAGCTATCTGGGCTCTGGGCTTTTGCACTCACATGCAATCTGAGATGAGGCCTCGGACACCCAAGGCAGAGAGTTGACTCTGAGCCTCCCATAGAAAGTTAAGACTTTCCAAGGACTGCATCTGTGGAATACTCACCAACTCACAATGGAACAAATCAAGGAAGTTTGTCTGTTTCACCCTGGGCTCTAGTAAGAAAAAAACACTTTCTCCTTCCTCATAGGAAAAGTGCATGCCCACAAAGTACATGCCATAACAAAAGTGATGATGCAATATGCAGAGACTCTGAAAAGAACATCACAATGGTGCTGCTAGGAACACCGCGGAAACAAACATAAGTCGCTCTGGAGAGACACACCCTGCGCCCAGGAGACACAGGATCCTCTAAGTAAAGCTTCACAGAAGATGAGTTTACAATATAGAATTATAAAATAGGAAAACAATCTACCACAAGCAAGAATCATCAGACACCCAAACCACAGGATTATATGCTAAAGATAGCAGATAATAAAACAACCTGATACATTTTTTAAAGATATGGGTAAAATTATTAAAGGCATAAAAGAACAATTCAGAAATATGAGAATAGAAGAGTACAACCGTCAAAAAAAGAATAAAATAGAATCCTAGAAGTGAGGAATAGAGGCGTGGAAATGAAAAACTCAGTTGTTTAGGAGTGGTAGTTATTAGAATTGAAGCTATTCCTCAATATTCAGATCTCCTCCTCCTGAATGTGCCCATTCAGATGGGCACACTTCTTCTCCATCCCCTTGAAGTTAGGTGAGGCCATGTGATTTGGCATTAAATGTCAGTGGAGGGACATGTGTCGCATTTGAGCTGAGGTCCATAAGAACTAGTGTGCCACTTGCCTTATGTTTCTTTCTCCAGACATGACAACCATTACTGCTCCAAAATAGTAGAAGCTCCATCAGCCTGAGTCTTGAGTGAGGGGATGCAGAGCAGAGCCTGCTGCCAGCTCATAAGCAAATGGACATGTAGCAAAAGCAAGAAATAACTCTTAGTTGTTATAACCCACTAAGGCTTTGGGGTTGTTTATTATTGTAGCATAGCCTAGCTTATCCTGATTGGTACAACATTTACATCAGATTAGGAACAGCTGAGGAAAAAATTTGTCAACTAGAAGACAGATTTGAAGAAGTCACCCAAAATTCAGTTCAGAGGGATAAATTAATTTAAATATGAAAGAAATGTGATACGGGATATAGAATGAGAAACTTCGAAATACTTTCATTAGGAGATCCATAATGAGAGAATAAGGGAGAGAAAATATTCAAAGGAATTTCCCAGGATCTGAGAATTTTCCAGAACTAAAGAAAGACATGAATCCTTGCATTTAGGAAGTACAGAGACTCCCAAGCAAAAGAAATAAAAACACATCAGAGAGAAACTTTAGAACCCCAAGGACAAAGTGCAGTTCTTAAAAATAACCAGAGAGAAGACGGATTATTCACAAAGGGATGGCAATTTCCAAGACCAATAATAGGACCAGGAGACAATGAAGTATTGTCCAAAGAGCTGAGAGAAAATAACTGTCAACCTGGAGATAATACTACCAACTAAATTATCATACAAGCTTGAGGGCTTTGTAAAAACATTTTATGGCAACAACTGAGAAAGTTTACCTCTCACAGATCCTTGCTAAAAGAACAACTAAAGGATGTGCTTAGGGAAAAATAAAATTGAGATCAAAAGAAAGTCAGAAGCAAGAAGGGATGGTGATCAAAGACATTTGTAAACATGTGGGTAAATCTAAATAAGCATTCACTGTGTAAAACAACAATCATCATAATTTGGGATTTCAAAAACAAAGTAAAATAAAAATACTGAAAAACAGGGACTTCCCTTGTGGCACAGTGGTTAAGAATCCGCCTGCCAATGCAGGGGACATGGGTATGAGCCCTGGTCGGGGAAGATCCCACATGCTGCGGAGTAACTAAGCCTGTGCGCCACAACTACTGAGCCTGTGCTCTAGAGCCCGTGAGCCACAACTACTGAGCCCATGTGCCACAACTACTGAGTCCGTATGCCACAGCTACTGAAGCCCGTGCACCTAGAGCCCATGCTCCGCGACAAGAGAAGCCACCGCAATGAGAAGCCCACTCACTGCGATGAAGAATGGCCCCCCACTCGCCGCTACTAGAGAAAGCCCATGCGCAGCAACGAAGACCCAAGGCAGCCAAAAACAAAATTTAATTAATTAATTAATTTAAAAAATACTGAAAAACAATATAATTTAAGTTCAAAGGAGTGATCTTTTTTTAAGGTTGATTCAGGAAAAGGATAGAGATCTTGATTCATTTAAAATCTAATGTCATGTAACATGTTAAAAGTTTAAGGGGGCACACTAAAGATTACAACTAAAATATATAAATTCCAAACCAATTTGGGGGGGGAGGGAAGGTTAGAAAAAATTCAATTAATGAAGGAAACATAAACTACAAAATGAGATGGTAGAAATATATCAATCACAAGAAATATAAACAACTTAGACTTGTTGGTTAATAGAAAACCTCAGATTAGATTAAGAAAAAGTGTTAGTTATGTGCTTTTCAAGAGAAACACCTAAAGTACATGAATATGAGGAATAGACAGCTATACAGACTAGATGGTACTGGTCAAACTGAATCAAACTGAATTGAGCTGTCAAAAACCTTTCTCTACACATACTGGTGTTTTCTAGTGGTAGTATTATCCAGGTGTGGTGCTAAATATTTTACATGAATTTTACATATTTTACATATTACTTAATATATGTACTAAGGAGAAGAAAACCCAGGGGTGCTAGTTTCTTTTGTTCTGAATTATTTTGTAGATGACATACTGAAATTACTGTTGTCAACACGTTTCCATTTTTTATTGACACCACACCTTCCTTGCTCATAATTTCCATGACTGTACATTCCTTGAATGAGCAAGAAATGACCCAATAAGCCCTGGTATTGCTACGAGGAATCTTCACATACTCTCCACGGCATAACCCAGAGACCGTGTGGTGGTGTGAGGTGGAGGCCAGAGGTGCAAGACTAGGGATTCTCATAGTGCCCAGAGGAGTTAGGATGAAGGCTGTGTCCAAAAAAAACCCACTCTGCAGATGATTGTTTCAAAAGGTCAAGTGTCAAATTCAGTGACCTCTGCACCTAGGCCCTTGGGACATCCCTTGAGGGTCAGTTCTGGCCCATAGATACCTTGGCTTAGTTTCTGCTATCTGCTTTCTGCTGGAGCCTACTCTGAGAACTAACCTGGGTTCTTCTCTGTTCCCTCCTGCTGCAGAAGATGGGGTCCCTCGCACAGCACGGTCCATGTCCCTCTCGCTGGGAAAGGTATGCATGTTCAAGGAATACTGGGGAAAGAAAGACAGAAGTTTCCACAGTCAGCCAGGAAATCAGTCATTCTTGGATCCACAGGTGCAAAAGAACCTCTGGACAGTCTCTCATTCAGCTTCCGAACCTTGCTAGCTCATCCTCCAACCTTCCCTTGCTCGTGGCTTCCAGTACTGCACCATCTCTAATGAACATGAAATGATGCACAAACTTTGGTATTGCCATAGATCATTTTCATACACTACCCAGGGTTTCATACACTGTCCAATGACTGGGCGTCATTTCTGTTCCATCTCTTCAGGATCTGAGAAATTAAAATCAGAACATGTTGAGAAATCACTCATCACTAATAAAAAAAAAATTGTTAATTTTGGCCACTCTCTCTACACCAACCCCCAGCACCATCACTACCCTAAAACCAGGATATCCATTGAACACAACATTTGGAATTAGTAGGCATTTCCCAGGCCTTTCTGAACTTTGGGTGCTGCCCCCTCCATGACAGTGGGCCTGATCCCTTCTCTTCCCACAGAACATGCCCCGCCGGAGGGTCAGCGTTGCCGTGGTGCCCAAGTTTAATATCCTGAACCTGCCTGGCCCGTCACCCAGCTCATCTCCCATCCCCTCCTTACCAGCCCTGGTGAGTATGATAATGCTTGCCTCCTGGGCCTCAGGCTCACAACTATGGGGGTGACCTGGATGGGGTAGGGTCAACAAGGAGAGGAAATTCCAAGCACAGATTCTGGGCTATGGGTTCAGAAGCCTCAGTACAGACCAGGCCCCAGGTCTTATACTGCCCTGAGAAGACTCAGTGTCCTTGAGCAAGGTGCTGGCAGCTCAGAGAGTGTTCCTTGCAAAGCGTATGTCTTTTCATGCTTAAACCAGAACCCTCCACTCTGCAGTGGGTTTAAGCAGCTGAAGATTGCATTATGGAGTACTTGGTAAGCTGAGCTTTGAACCCTAGGCCCTCTGATTCCAGAGCCTGAGTTCTTAAACCCAACGTTACCCTGCTTTGATTCATTGCAGCATTGTTTACAACATTGAAAAATTGGAAATAAGCAGAATTCCCATTAATAAGAGATTGGTTTAATAAATTATGAAAAGCTCAATAAGGGGTTTCTATGCAGCTGCTAAATATATGATTCAAATATAAAATTTTATTTATCGACATGAAAAAAGTCCATAATTTATTATTAACAAAAAGCAAAACCCCAGTATATACTGCATAACTCTGTTTTGCAGTTTAAGAAAGAGTGTTTTTCTGTGTGTAAACAGAAAATTCTGAAAGAATGTAAGTAAAACTACTAATAATGGTTAGCTCTGGGCAATGGTAAAATCACAGGTGATTTTAATTTTCTTGATGCCTCTATTTCTAGAGTAAGAATGTATTACTTATAATCAGAAAAAAAAATCTGCTTCAATTTTTTTTAAAACAAAGACTATTCCTATAAACAAAATATTTTCTAGATTCCAGAACTTTGTGAATCTGGTTAAACCTACCTAAAACTCTTAGAAGAGCTAGTTAGTGGTTTTAACAGGGACTATTTCCCATTCTATACTAAATGTATAATGTGGCTTCCAAATATATATATTCCTTTAGACTAGGGGTTAGCAATCAGGGCTATCCATTAAAATCACATAGGGTACTTCTAAAACATTCAATGCCTAGGCCCCAACCCAAGATTGTGGATTGGATCAGTACTTTAAGAAAATATCCCCCAGGCGATTCTAACATGCAGGCAGAGTTGAAAGCCATTGTTTAAACCAAATCCATTGCAGCAAAACAACGTGGTATTCCTGGGGAATTTATTATAAAGAAATTTCTGATGCCTTGAGCTTTTAGTAATGGCAGGTATCTCCTGAGAGTTGTGCTTGGAACTGTATCTCGAGGGCAGTGATGGGCTTGTGTGAATCCATCCCAGGGGCCTTGGGACCTGCATTTGGTAGGAGCCTCCCTGGTATTTAGTCCAAGTCAGTAAACAGGGAATAGAGAGAAACTGATGGCTCCCCTCCAGAATGGAGCCTCAATATGTAAACTCTTTCCCTTATTCAAGAAAACTTGGAAGAGGAGAAGGAAAATGTGCACATTCCCTGTGCCCCAGAGGGAAAGAACACCCAGGAAAGGAGGGCAGAGAAGGCCTGAGGAAGGGCCGGTGCCTGAGCTCAGATGCAGATTAGAAAGCTTGGGGAAGGGGAAGAGGAAAGAAGAGCAGCAGCAACCCTTCCCCAGCATCTTTGGAAACCTGTCGGCCCGGGCTTCTTCCTTCCTAGCTGATTCTCAATTCTCTGTCTCCTGTTTTCCATTCAGTCAGAATCACCCAATGGGAAAGGCAACCCACCTGTCCCCTCAGCACTGCCTGCACTTTTGGAAAAGTAAGTATGTCCCCTTTCCTCTTAACTTTGGGGATCTCTGAGGAAATTTCCCCAACTCACCTTTCCTCCCAACCTCACTCCCCAAATGCGATGGAAAGCAAATTAAGTTCTAGGGGAAATGAATGGGACTCTGAGACCCACAAAGATTTCAGACCCAGTTTGCAAAATTCCTGGACCAGGAAGATGCTGCAGCTGAGTCCAAGTGTGCCTCCGTCCCAGAAGAGGCCAGAGGGGACAGAAGCCTTCTGTATTCAATGGGATCCTTTGGGCTACAGATACAAGAAAGCCCCAACTCAAAGGGGTTTAAATAGTAGGTCCACAGATGAGACTTTTCCAGATGTGGTACAGCAAGGCCTCAGCTCAACCTCTACAATTTCCTTTTCTCTGCCCACTTTGTATGTTGACTTCATCAGCAGGTTTGTGGCAAATGGCTACTACTTCCAGGTATTTCATCCAGACATGACAACATCTACAGGAAGAAAGGGACCATCTCTTTCCATGTTTCTTTCTTAGGAATGAACTCAGAAATCTTTTTTCAGTCTTCCTTCTTATCTTGTTAGCAAATTTGGAACACGCTCCCTTTCTAAACCAATCACAGGCTTTAGGAATGAGATTGTCATCATGGGCTTAAACTATGCCCTAGAGATGGGAAGAGCGTGTCAGCTTCCCATTGACCAAAATGGCTCCATGAAGAAGAGTAAATTCATGAGCAAAATCACGTTGCTTTTAGGAAGTAGGAGGAAGAGTGAGTATTGAATTTGCAACAAACAGTGTCTGCTACGCCTACCTTTTCTAGGCACCTATGCAATTTGCAGGTCTTTTTATCCTCAGCCAAAGCAAGGCAGGCTATTTCTACATACTCAGAGGAGTTTATAACTTGCTTTTCCAGTTCTTTCATTTGCTTGCTGGAAAACATCTGGATCACAGCTGCCACCTCTCAGAACTTTCCCCACGTGTCTTTCCTCATTTGGTAAAACATACACCTCTATTCTTCCTTCTTCCTTGCCTTGAGACAGCTTTAGTCCTTCATTTTTCATTGATGTTAGAATAGTTTGGCTTGGCCTGGCAAGGAATGTCTGTGTTGGGCCCCTTTTTTAGTACAGACAAACTCCCAGCTCCCCACCCCCAGACTCAGCCTGTTTTCCTCACCTCTCAGAATATGCAACCACCAACCTGTCGTTCAGTGACTCTCCCCCCATTAATCTTGACGTTTGCGAGACAATTCCTCACTTTGCCACCTCACCCCGGGAAAAGCTAACAAGTTCTTCATGTTGTGTAGGGTGCTTTTGTCTGTTTCTTTGTTTTCTTGATCACTACAGGGACATTGTAAAGGGGTGACAAACTAACAACCACGTGGAAGTAACCGAGGCTACAGAATTTTACCAAGTCCCTAAAGTCATAGTGTCTAGTCCATGGTCTCTGAATTTCTCCAGAAATGGTCATCTGATACCCTGAGTGAGAAGCGCACTGAAATTCTCCCTTCCAGTCCTGCCTTTGGACACACCAACCCCTTTTTCCCAACAAGGCTCCATTCCTAACTGTCGACCTGCAGAGCAGGTTAAGGGAGAAAATCCATGTCCCCTCTCTCCCCAGCAGACTCTCATGATGGGGCAGGACCTGGACTCTGTAGAATGAATGCTCAGGCCTGCTGAGAGCTTCCATCTGAGGCAGTGGAGGTCATCAAGAACCTGAACTATCTTTGGTAGGAGCAGGCGAGGTGCAAAATGGGGGACAGCAGGCAGCAGCCCTGAATCAGGAGTGGCAACGAATGAGGATCAAAGGTGGCAGCACCATTCCAGGGGGTTAGAACCAGGAGAGATAGGGACAGAGTGAGGATTCAGGCAAGTCAAGCAAGAAGCTGTCTGCTGCTCATTCTTATGCGCTATTCAGAGAGACCACCATGATACATTACCCATGCTGTAGTTGACTTGCCTGTTGGGATTATACCCAGCCTATGAAGATGGCTGCAAAAAGGGGAGGGGATGTTCAAAGGAGGAGGGATTCAGACTAACAACAGCTTCCCCCTCTGGATTTCTAAAAGATGCTAAGTAATTTTCATCTAAATTTACGGAACTGAAAATATCGATTGCCAAGAGGCTGACAATGAGACAATCTGTGAGTGAAAATGAATTCGTATCTTCCATTCTAACAGAAATACAGTTGATTCTAGCCACCTTTTCCATACTGTTAAAGAGAAATAATGCATTATGTGTTAACATGCATTGCTTTCTAGATTGCTGTATTTAAATGATCTCATATTTCCCTAAGCATACAGTGACTAAGCAGGTAGGGAATTGGCTAAGCTCATGAAAGATGATGAGAAGATCATAATGCCTGTGGATACTTCACAAGCAAATACCTAACTGCAGACTGCACTCCCAATATGACTTGAGAGAATTCTGAACCTTGTTCTTGCAGGTCACTTCATAGTAACCTGTTCTTCACCTCAGCAAGGGTCTAGGAACCTGTAGATTTAGAGAAAAATAGAGAGAGTAATATTTAAAATTAGTATTAAAGGTTAAAATAGAACAAGGCTCAAGAACAGTTTCATAAGTAGAAAAAGCTATTTATTCATAGTCTTTCATTTTTCATTCCTTCAACAATTAATAACCAAGAGCCAGGCACCTAGAATGCACCCAAGGAGCTCGCAGTATAATGGGAAAGACAGATGGGAAACAGCCTATTGTAATACAATGTGATGGGTGATATCAGAAGGAAGTACAGGTTACCAAGGGAGTAAGACACAAGAAAATGATCATGCAACCCAGTTTTGGTATGGGGGGTCGGGGGACGGAGGCTTAGAAAATGTTTCCTCTAGGAATTTACTTTAAAAGTGAAACATGAAGGTCATATAGTTAACCAGGTGAATAGGAGGTTAACAACATTCCATGCTCTAAGGCAAGAAAGTATGGAGTAGTCAAGGAACACTACTGATGATTTATCACATGCTTACAATACTTATTATTTATTACATGCTTTTTGCCAAATGCTGTTCTAATTGCTTTACATTAATGATCTCATTTAATCCTTACAATAATACCATGAGGCAGGTATACTATTAATTTCTTTATTTTATAGATGAGGAAACTGAAACTCAGTGAAATCATCACTTGCCTGAAGTTACACAGCTAGTAGATAGCAGAATTCATGTGCTTAACCACTTAATAGACCCTCAACTGGAAGAACAGAAAGAAGTTCAGTGTGACTGGTGAGAAGAGAGTGGATTTAAGAGCAATTTTTGAAAAAGCTCCTGTGAGCTATTGTGAAAGAAGCTGGTGACTGCCTGGGTGTGGAGTGGAGGGCAGAGTGGGTGGGAGCAGAGGGTGTACACAGAGCCATTCACTGAGGGATCAGCGCCATCGTACATGCGGATGGTGCACAGGGCTGCTTTCATAAGGGGGGCCATTAAACTGCTGTATCACAGAGCAAATTTTCACTATAATTTGTAAAATAACCATTTGCTACACTTTGGGAGCCCTCAGGATAAATTGCTTAAAGGTTTTATATGACATTAAGTATATACAGTAAAGAACTCCCCTTTGCTGATAGTATTCTGGAATGGATTAGCCCTCAATCAACTAGTAGTGGACCCCAGAAACCTGGGATTGAGTAACAGAGATTAAGGAAGCTACTGTAGCCCAGGTCCCCCGGGCTGGGCTTGTCTGAGGGAGCCTCGGCAGTGGGGGTGGCTTAGAGACCTAGATGAGCCCGAGAAGGTAAGATCTGTCCATTGGAAAGGATTGGAGTCACTTTCAAATATTGTTAACCATGTGGAAAAAATAGACTCTACTATATCTGCAGGTCACACAACACATTTCGATAAGACAGCCCCTCATGTTACTGAGAGCTGAGCACAATGACAAATGTTTTTGACCCAGTGGACATGAGAGAACAATGAGCCTTATTCTAATTAATCATCCCCAAAAGAAAGCATGCAAGATTATGGCCTAGGAATAGATGCCAAGATCCATGAGTGTCTGGCCCAGAAGTCCTTAGGTGGGCACAAGCTGTGCTCAGCTCCACATTTATAGGCATGCATAGGGATTCCTTCAGCTCAACCCAAGCACTGAGTTCTCAGGAAATAGTCATTTACATAGAGGACCTGCCCATTTTGTAAGATTAACGGGCAGGGATGAGATGAGCCACGGTGAAGTCAATACAACTCAGCAAACAATTAAAGGCACTTACTATGTACCAAGCACCATTCAAACTGACTGTCTCCCTGCAATCACAGTCATATGGAGGGATGGACATGTGTATAAAACATAAAAGTGCCCTAGCTCCAAGTTATGCTATAAAAGAGGTGCAATGAGGGTATAAAAGGAGGGAGAGATCAACTTTAACCAGAGGGTGTGAGACAGAGGAAAACATTAGCAACAGTTCCACAAAGGAAAAGGTATTTGAACAGTCTTTAAAATGCACAGGGAGAAAATTCCAGATAGTTGGAGAAGATATTTAAGGAACTATAAGCTCAGTCTAAGGGTCAGGAAATAACAGTAAACATTTTACACCCTACCATATTTCATAAAATAATTGCTTTCCCTACCCTTGGCTGTGTTTTTCTGCTCTTGTTCCAGTCATTAGGACAAATAGGAAACGGCACATTAGGCAAAGATCGCATGGAAGGGAGTGGATAATGTAATTTTAAAAAGGAGAAATGTTATGAATAGCTGATATTTTTAGAGCATTATCTTTCTTGTTCACAATGGGTTTTGGTTTCCAGCCTGATGAAATGTAAATTTTACAAGGTCTGAGGGAAACCAAGACATGGGAGACTGATGCCGAGAATGAGGAGACTCATAAAGCCTGTCTAAGAGGTCGGGGAGGGTGGCAGCTGTGATCTGTCAGAGTCCTGGCTGAAAAGCTCTGCTCGCTGTTCTGCCTCGTTCGAGGGCTCCTCCATGACAAGACTCCCATTGGGATTCCAGACACCTAGGTAAGCCGCAGGATTTATAGAGAAGGCATGGCTACCAGTATACTTCCTTTAAACTCATGATTTCATACCTCAAATGGGCTCCCAGCACCGTCAGCCATCCTACTGTGATCTTCTAGCACGTGTGTCCCCCCACCTCCACCCCATGATTCTTACACCTTCTCTTCCCTCTTCAAGCCTTCCTAGACCTCCGTACATCTCACTTTTAGCAGATGACCTTGTCTTCCATATTATAGAGAAAATTTAAGCTATCAGATAGGAGGATCCCTCTCATCTTCCTTTGCCAAACTCCCAGCTCACCATCTTCATTTCCTTCCTCCCTTTGTTATGACCAAGGAGAAGTTTCTCCACCTTTCTAAGGTCTGTCCCTACTTTCTTTTTTCAAAGAATTCATTCCTTTGGTCCTCCCCTTTCTCTCATCTCCTCTACTGGATCATTTCTATCCACATTCAAATGTGCTTTCATCCCTTGACCCACTTTTTCAGCTACTTGTTCCCCTGACAGTCTTCTATTCCCTGTCCTTGTCAAATTCCTGTCTACGTCTCCCCCTTTCTCACCTCCCATTCTTCTCTCAGTCCGTTCCAATCTGTCTTTGCTCCTACCGTGTACCCAAAGCTCCTCTTGACCTCCATGTTATCCAATCCAATAGTTGCCTTTTCTGTACTCATCTGACTCAGGCTCTCAAAAGTGTGTGCGTGACACACTTAATGCTCCCTCCTTGACATGCTCTCCTTTTGTTATCAAATGGGGGTCCCACTGCGCGCTGCTTATAAAATCACTACTCACAAATAGTAGAAAGGAACGGTGCCTTTAATCAGAATGCTGGCAATCTGGGGAGATGGTGGACTCAGTGTCCCCAAAAACCACCTCCAAAGATTCTGCTCAGCCATGAAACTTTTAAAGGGACGGAGGGAAGTAATCTCAGTTAGTCATTGGAATGGGGGTCAGAGTGGTCACCATCCCCCCACTGCATGCAGGCTCGTTCACTCTAGATGTTATCTTGTTCACACAGTTTGGTCACACGGTTTATTTGGGAGATTACTGAAGGGGAAGCTAGGGAAGAGATCTGGTCATCTGTTAATTACTTATTCTTCATTTCTACCTCTTTGATCTATGGAAAGAACCAACAAGTTAGGCAAGGTATCGTGTAATTAAAAGACTTGAAAGGTGTGCGTGAGCTGGAGATGAGTAGAGCATGCGGGTGCCTGACTTAAAAGGGGTAAGAGACCTGTACTCAGAAAACTATAAGTTACTGATGAAAGAAATCAAAGACGACACAAACAGATGGAGAGATATACCATGTTCTTGGATCGGAAGAATCAATATTGTGAAAATGACTATACTACCCAAAGCAATCTACAGATTCAATGCAATCCCTATCAAATTACCAAGGATATTTTTCACAGAATTAAAACAAAAAATTTTACCTTTTGTATGGAAACACAAAAGACCCCGAATAGTGAAAACAATCTTGAGAAAGAAAAACGAAGCTGGAGGAATCAGGCTCCCTGACTTCAGACTTACTACAAAGCTACAGTAATCAAGACAGTATGGTACTGGCACAAAAACAAATATAGATCAATGGAACAGGATAGAAAGTCCAGAGATAAACCCATGCACCTATGGTCACCGAATCAGTGACAAAGGAGGCAAGAATAAACAATGGAGAAAAGACAGTCCCTTCAATAAGTGGCACTGGGAAAACTGGACAGCTACATGTAAAAGAATGAAATTAGAACACTCCCTAACAGCATACACAAAAATAAACTCAAAATGGATTAAAGACCTAAATGTAAGGCTGGACACTATAAAACTCTTAGAGGAAAACATAGGCAAAACACTCTTTGACATAAATCGCAGCAAGATCTTTTTTGACCCACCTCCTAGCATAATGAAAATAAAAATAAACAAATGGGACCTAATGAAACTTAAAAGCTTTTGCACAGCAAAGGAAACCACAAGCAAGATGAAAAGACAATCCTCAGAATGGGAGAAAATATTTGCAAAGGAAGCAACTGGCAAGGGATTAATCTCCAAAATATACCAGCAGCTCATGCAGCTCAATATCAAAAAACAAATAACCCAACAAAAAATGGGCAGAAGACCTAAATAGACATTTCTACAAAGAGGACACACGGATGGCCAAGAGGCACATGAAAAGATGCTCAACATCACTAATTATTAGAGAAATGCAAATCAAAACTACAATGAGGTATCACCTCAGGTATCACCTCAGACCAGTCAGGATGGCCATCATCAAAAAGTCTACAAACAATAAATGCTGGAGAGGATGTGAAGAAAAGGGAACCCTCCTACATTCTAGGTGAGAATGTAAATTGATACAGCCACTATGGAGAACAGTCTGGAGGTTCCTTAAAAAACTAAAACTAGAACTACCATATGACCCAGCAATCCCACTCCTGGGCATATACTTGGAGAAAACCGTAATTCCAAAAGATACATGCACCCCAGTGTTCATTGCAGCACTATTTGCAATAGACAGGACATGGAAGCAACCTAAATGTCCATCAACAGAGGAATGGATAAAGAAGATGTGGTACATATATACGATGGAACATTACTCAGCCATAAGAAGGAATAAAACTGTGCCATTTTCAGAGACATGGATGGACCTAGAGACTGTCATACAGAGTGAAGTAAGTCTGAAAGAGAAAAACAAATATCATATATTAATGCACATATGTGGAATCTAGAAAAATGGTACAGATGAACCTATTTGAGAGAACAAACATATGGACACCAAGGGGGGAAGGGGTGGTGGTGGGATGAACTGGGAGATTGAGATTGACATATATATACTACTATGTATAAAATAGATAACTAATGAGAACCTACTGTATAGCACAAGGAACTCTACTCAGTGCTCTGTGGTGACCTAAATGGGAAGGAAATCCAAAAAAGAGGGGATATTTGTATACATGTAGCTGATTCACTTTGCTCTACAGCGGAAACGAACACAACATTGTAAAAAATGTTATTCCAAAAAAAAAAATCGTCACAGGAAAAAAAAGTTAATTACAATATAGCTTTGCTAAAGTGACAAGAAACTGGGCTTCCTGCTGAGGGCAGTTTCCTGCAAAGAGCTGCTTACACCCTCTCAGCTCCCAGGACTCCATGCTCTCCGGGTTCTCCTCTTACCTCTGTGGCTGCTACTTCTCAGCTCCTCCACAGGCTCCTCCTCCACCTGAACTAAGGACAGAGATGCCTGTGGCTTGGTCCTGGGTCCTCTTCTCAATTTTCCTCATACTATGTCCCCAGACAGTCTTATCCATTCCCCTGGCTTTATATACCATCTATATTCTGAATATCTCCAGCCTAGAGCTCTTCTCTCACTCACTTTGGTATATCCAACTACCAACTTGACATCTCCACCTGGATACCTCACAGGCATCAAAAATCTTGTCCAGAAGTTAATTCTTACCTCATTGCTCCTCTTCAGTTCCTCAAACATCTCCACATCTTTTGTATCCCGAGGTGTTCACACATCCTGCATCCTCTACCTGGGAGGATCTTCCCTCTGCTATAGATGTGGCTGACTTCTCATCTTTCAGCTCTGTGCTTCAGTTACTCCATCTCTGAGAGGCCTTTTCTGGCCACTCAATCTAAGCAGATTCTCTCCTCATTATTTTCTGTCATTGCACAGAGTTTGTTTCTCTCATAAAAGTTATCACAATTTGTAATTAATTTCATATTTTTTCTTTCCTTTTTTGGGCATTCTCTCCTGCTGTGCTCCGTGTTGGCAAAGACGTTTTCTTTTGTTTTCTAATGTATCCCCAGCACATTACAAGGTGCCTGTGACTTAGCACTGGGTAGATATTTACATGAATGAAGCAGAAGATGGACTACAGGGATGGGATGACTCTGAACGTTTGGTCCACCTCCATCTTCCTCCTCTTAGTGCCCTGGAGCTCCCAATATCTGTCTGTCCACTCAGAGCATCTCCTGGAATAAGAATAAAAGTGGATTTGAGAGCAGGAGGAAAAAGGCAAGCTGGTGCAGTACTTGATGTCTGGGGGCCCAAGGAGGATTCATGGACTAAGGCCTTTATAAAATCTTAAGGTAGAAAGATTGAAATAAATTCAATCCAGAATGAGTTTCCTCACTTCCGGCCAGGAACAGGACAAAGACATGGTTTGGTTTTCAGAAGTCCCATCTGTCTCTGAAAGGACGCCCTGTACTTCCTTCTTCTTGCTAGTGGGAAGACGAATGGGGACCTGGATTGTGAGGCCTCTGCTTCCGTCCCGACTCCAAGCTGCCTGGAGGGGTTTAGCCAGGAGACCAAGGCCAGGATGGAGGAAGAAGCATACAAGAAGGGGTGAGTCAGCCTTCAGCAGCCCTGAGGTCACCTGGCATTGCTCAAAAGATACCTTCCCACGGGCCTTTCCTGTCTCTTAGAGGATTTAGGGAAGCAACCCGTGGCCCTGGGACCTCCTTGCCTGAGTAAGGAACTACATAGGAAAGAGCAGTACTGTTCCACAGGAAAGACAGGAGGAAACGAGGCAAGAGGGTGTGGTAGATAATAACTAGGCTGCCCTCTTTTTTAGGCAGAAAGCCACCAGAATGATCTGGAAATCAGGGGCCCTGGGTGGGTTCCTCTTGGTGGTGCCTGAGGCTTCCTGACACATGCCCAGAGCAGTCACGCCACTGCCAGCAGTGCCCAGGAGCAGCTGCAGCCCCACTTCCTGGAACTGCCTCAGCCATCCCTTCTTCCTGTCAAAGGAGTCCCCTAACTTTCAGCTGCCCCCTTCTCTAGAGTTCAATAGCACTTTTGGCTTGTTGTTAGTCACTGATGAGGCAGAATACCGAGCAAGGCCCCAGCTAAGCCAGGTAGAGAAGTACTTCTGTCCAGGTACCACATCCTGAGCTTCTTTCCCAGTAGCTCCTGAGGGAGATACAGCTTCCCTCTGAGGTGGGACCTGTGGGCTTCGGTGTGGTGGCCACCTGCACCGTGGTGGGGTTGCCCCAACCCAACTGTGCTAGCCTTAAACACTCAGCTGTAGGACAAGCAAAAAGGATGTTCAAGGTAATATTAAACCTGGGAGAAGGAAGTCAGAGGGTTTCTCTTGGAAAGCCTGTCTTTTCACCCACACCTGTCCTCTGTACTTAGAATGCAGGGGAGTGAATGCTTCCATCAGCTTTGTGAACATTTACTGTGAACCTGTGTGCCTTTCACTTTCACAAAGCTTCCCAACAAGCCTGTGTGACAGGTGTCACCTTCCCCAGGTCAAACCATACACCTGGCACTTCCTCAAAATGTTCCAACATCCGTGCAATGAGTGCCAGCCTCTCCTTTTTACAGGGGAGGAGCTGAGGCTCCAAGGCCACACAGTCCTTAGCCCTCCCAAATGGTTTGTAGAAGAATCCAGCCGGGAGACTCTGCACCCATATTTTTTCCCTGTCTCTTTTGTCACACTTTCACATAAACAGGAAGAATGGCCGAGGGGTGAGGGGAAATCATCCTGACAGGAGCCACCATAGGATGCGGTGGAGCTTCCCAGCTTTTTCCTCTTGTGTGGAACCACAGGAAGTGAGTGTGTAATCATCAGAGATGCTCAGTGCCTCCTCTAGCAACTCAGGAAAGGATGCTCCGCCCCTGGCCTTTCCAGACTCAATTGTTCGTTGTTGCCTCCCAGATACCAGGAAGGTCTAAAGAAGACCAAGGAGCTTCAAGACCTGAAGGAGGAAGAAGAACAGAAGACCGAGAGCCCTGAGGAAGCTGAAGAGGCAGAAGAAACTGAGGAAGAGGAAAAGCAGCAGAGAAGCAGGTTGGAGCCCTCGCCATTGCTGAACTGGGTCCCAATTCATTTCATTGCACAACATCCCTGGAGGTGCCAGTCCAGGGCAGTTGTGGGTCTAGGGCCCGAGTGAGCAGCCAACAGAAACCAAGAGGGCACTCATGTTGGAGGAGGAGGCAAAGGAAATCCCAAAGAGCTCAAATAGTTAATAAGAGGATGTTTGCAAGAGCTGAGGGGTCAGGGGTTGTCAAGGGCTGGACCGGCAGCAACCAGCAGTTCTCAGGAGCTGAGAAAATGCGAGGGACCACAGTTAGCTCATTGCCCAACCATTCCCATGAAAGAGCCAAGTTCAAGGAAGTTGGCCTGAAGCCCTAGAGGGGAGCTGGGACAGAGAGAACACAGGGAGGTAGCGGATGAACTCAACTTCGTGGCAAAGGAAGTGTCCAACAGGTTCTTTCCATGGTGATCAAACAAGTTTGGTCGTCTGGACATTGTTTTCACTTTGGTTTGGAAATACTTGGATTTTTCCTTTTAATATACTTTATATTTCAAGTGCATTTTCCACTAAATCATGAAAGATATATGTAACAGTAGATAAAGGTAATGTAGATCCTGCATCTTAATCAATTAATCTAATCAGCTGCTACCTTTGGGACAGGGTATGTGTCTGTGCCTCATTGCTGGCAGACTCTGGAAATCACATGCACCCAATGAATAAGGTAATAAAATGCAGATTAGAAGTGAGATGGACATGCTTCAAAACACATAGGAATGACCAGTAGAGCCTAGTTGGTGGAAGATTCAACCAGAGTGAGAGGTGTCAGCCTGCATGAGTCAACCCCAGTGTTCAAGGGGAGAGCTGGAGAAAGGGCTTCACTATTGGAAACAAACCTGTGCAAGGGCACACCACCTCCCCTAAGGAGAGAAGCCCAGTTTTCACAATGAAAGCACAGTCCCTACTCCAAGTGGCTTGATCCTATCCTTCTTGGTCTTCTGTCCCTCCTGGGTGTCCTCTGCTCTTGTTTTCCAGGCCACCAGACTGTCTTCTCTCCTTTAATGCAGTTAAGCCCAGGCCTGGGCTTCAGCCCTTTCTTTGGCTCCCTTCAAAACAGAAACACAGGCTGGGACTTCTAACCCTTCCAAACACTGGGAAAGAACAAAAGAGAACTAAACAGAGAGAGTACATGGAATATAAACAGTCTGGTTTACAAAGCACAGGGCTGGAATCCTTATCTAGCTAATTTGATCTTGGGAGATTGTCCCTCCCATTTCATGAAATCCCAGAGGAAGTGAGCCTGTGCCCGGCTTCCCCTCTGTCCAGCTCCTGGTCAGCAGCACATGGCAATGGCCGCCCTTTGCATCCAACATCCAAGAGTATCCTCTTGGTCCTGCTGAGGATACTGAAAGGCCGCGTTCCCTTTCCCAACTTCTGCTCCCTCTCAGATTCACTTCTTGGTCTTATGAACATGCCTGTACCTCAGGTGGTGGATACCAGGCATCAGCACAGCCCTGAGATGGGTCCTCGGCCTTCAGCACATTGTGTAGCTTCACCTGTTCAGGCCCAGCAGTGTGGCATCATCTTCTCTATAACGACAGACACTGCTATCATAGAAACTGCCCACCCACAGTTACAGGGTCCCTTCCTCACCTGTCACCAAAGCCAGACTAGCCCCGAGAGCTGTTGTGTTCAGTGCCAGGCAATCCATTCATTCGCAAATCCCTTACATACACAGTTGCCTATAGGCACCTGTACTCAAGCATGATTCCCCCCATGAAATTTTGGCATCTCATTAACAAGCAAGGTCTAAGGTTATTAAAAGTTCCATGTCCTACTTAGTGCATTTTAAAAACACTGAGCTAACCCCAGCAGCTGGCCCCTTATTTAAGAGATTCAGCATCAAACACTAGAGTCTTTTTATCTGAATCTCTCCTCTATTATAATAATATGTAATAATATAATCTGTTGTCAATATTACTTTCTGGAGGATCAGCTTAAGTGAACTTTGGGTGAATCAACCCAATATCTTAACCATATTAAAACACAGAACACAGTCTTCTGACATTTAGGTAATGCATGGAACAAGTGAGACTCATAAGATGCAACAGGGAACTGTTGTCTTTTCTCCCACTGTCTGTTCACACTGGCTTTTTGGGGTTAAGATGATATTAGGCAGACTCCTTTACTCTTCCAATAACGCTCAGAAAATAGAAGTCCTCTGGTCAAGTTTAAGTCCCAAGAATAACCTCATTTCAGTAATGAAAATGGCCAGTTCCCTGAAATAGTCAAAAGCCTGAACTTCTCCCCATACCCCCTGGCCTCCAGCTCCACTCTGCTTCAGGAAGGAAGCCTACAGTGGAGACGGAGCTGACTTCTTGCTCTCTGCCACTCCCGCCCTCCACCCCAGCTGTGCTAATGCAGCGCCTGACCTCTCCAGAGCTAACGTTGGGAAAGGCGGTGGAGCTCAAGGGTAGGAAAGGTATTACCTGACTGGTCTTCTTGTGAGCGGGTTCCAGGCCTTAGCAGGCATTTAAGGTTGACCTTCTGATTTTGTTCAGTGTGGTGTTTTATGGGACCTTCAGAGAAAAGCACCCCTCCTACCCCCCAGCTCACACATGTTCACACCATTTCTGAGGATCTCTCAACTGCAGGTCCCCTTATGAGGTCGAATGCAGCTCTTCTGGCCAGCTACTTAAAATCCCTCTCTCAGTCCTTGGGCAGCTGGAAGTATACCCTCCACGCTCAGCTTCTAGGTAGCATTTCTGGGCAGGGTCTATGACATCCCATGCCAGCCTTCCTTCTCCTGACTACATCCAGTTACTGTGAAATATGCACCTTTGACCCACTAGTGGTGGGAGGATGGTTTTCCGTATCGTGGCCCCCTGCTCTGATGCCATCAAGCAGTTCAGCAAGATTCCCACTCTTCACATCTCTCAGGTGGGAGTCACGCACAGTCTACTCACTGTGCCCCAAATTACAACATATCGAGCTCGCCAAGCAGCATCTCCGAAGCCCCTCTCTCCAGGCCCAGGTGAGGGGGCAGCAACCTCACCCTTCCCAATGGAGGAGTAGGTAGACCTCAGAACAACCAAAAATTGATTTCCAAAGGAATTCTATTTCTAATCTAATTCCATTTCTAACAGCTTTTGTAGGCTGGAAATGGGTAACCAGCTAAGGGTCACGAAGCCAGATCTTGCCCTCTCCTTTGCCAGCCCACTTAAGGATGGGGTGAGAGTGGGATTCTCCCTGCTCCAGCAGATTGTTTTGGAACACAGAAATACAGCCCAAAAGAGAGACTGTGTCTTAGCATCCAGTTGTATCTGAATAGAAATTAAAGAAACTAAATGGGGCTGAAAGAAACTAAGCTTCCACTTCCAAATTCTCTCTCCCCAACAGTTGTGAAAGTGGCCAATGATTTTCACCTCAGCTCATGTACTCACTGTTTTGCTTTGCTTAATTGTTCCTGAAACAATCATCAGTGGGTCCCACATGGAAGAGAAACCAACCAGTGCTTTAGCATCCAAGGCAGGCACTCTGAGCATCTGATCCCTTTCTACGGAAGAGTATGTGTTGAGTCTCTGTACCACTGTCAGGCACCTAGCTCTCTCCTATTAGAATAGCAGAGAGAGAGAATAGCTAATCTGCTATTAGCTCTCTGAATTAGAGCTCTCTGCTTCTCAGCAAATGGTCTGCATATTTCAGTGTCTGTGTGAGCCTCAGGATCTTCAAAGACCTCATGTCCCTTTTCTCACCTCTTTCATTTGGTGATCCTCAGTATTCTCACTGTTATTTTTTAAAATAGATCCGGGATTAGAAACAGGAAGAAATTCTAGCTTAATGAACGTGTCCAAGGCTTCTCCAGAGAGCTCTAAGAATGGACTCTTCAAAGCAGACCATCTGACCAAATGTCTTTTCAAGGGGCCACAAAAAAGAGTGGAAAAATTGAAAGGCAGTGGGAAAAAGAGGAAGAGGGAGAAGTGGAGTGAAGCAGGCAAAAAACAGAGGGGGAGGGTTGAAAGGGAAGGAGGGAAGAGAGAAAAGAGAGAGATGAGAAGGAAGAGAAAAGTGTGGAGAGAGCAGAGAAAGTGGAGGAGGGGTTATTTGGGAATGAAGATTAATAGGGCTGAGAAAACATCTTGAATAAGTCACCCAGAGGTTGCTGGAGGCCCCGGGACAGTTTGAAGTGAGCTCTTGAGGTTGATCTGGTTCCTTGAATTACTTGTCCAGTAATTTATTACTCGACGTTGAGAGTCTTCTAGGAGTTTATCACAGTCCTTCCACTCTAGATACAGTCAGATGTGGAACTGAGGACAACAAATTAGGCATCTGAACATGGAGGCGGGGGACAGGTTAGAACTCGGAACTGATCACTGGTACCACTAAGTGCAGAAAAGCTGTCGGTCCTGTCTGGTTGCATGGGAGAATGGGTCAGCCAACCTGGTATCTTGGGGCTTGGGGGAGTTCAGATATCAGTGACCATCTCATGAGTAGATGAGGGCATGTGCGAATGGATGAATGGTCACACAAATAAGTAGCGTGTTCTAGCCTAGACTCTCCCAATATAAAGGCTATAGACTGATGGCATCAAAATCACCTGGGGAAAAATTCTTAACTATAGATTCTTAGACCATACCTTTGGAGATTCTTATGCAGTAGACCTGGGATATTTTGAATCATTGCTGCCAAACAACACTATGCACAGCTGAGTTTGAGAACCACGGCGCAAGACAACATGGAGAGTATTCCAGATGGAAGTTCTGGGCATCGTATATGTGCCCAATATACTAAACCGTCCACCTATGTTTTTCATTTGACAGCAAACTTGAAGAATTGGTTCATTTCCTACAAGTCATGTATCCCAAACTCTGTCGGCACTGGCAAGTCGTCTGGATGATGGCCGCAGCAATGCTGGTCTTGACTGTTGTGCTGGGGCTCTACGGTTCCTATAACTCTTGTGTGGAGCAGGCCGACGGGCCCCTTGGGAAATCCACTTGCTCGGCAGCCCAAAGGGACTCATGGTGGAGCTCAGGACTCCAGCATGAGCAGCCTACAGAGCAGTAGGAAACCCGACACCCGGCCAGTGCCCTGCTCCAGCACACAGCCTGCTGCCCTTTCCCCAAGCATGATGTGTCAGGCCTGGGCACGGGCACACCACTGCTGCCGTCAGGGGAACAAGCAGGGGTTCTTTCACACTCGGCACCCCTATGGGAGCTATTCACACACAGTAACTGATGTTCTTGGAGGATCAACAAAAAGCATCAGTGGACAAAGAAGTGGCCTTCACCAGGGAACTCCGACGGAAGGGACAGTTGCCTGCACCAGCTCAGATGGCTGGGGAGAAACAAAACACCTTCTTTATAGGCTACAGTGCGAAGCCCCCTCCCCCTCCCCATTTTCCTCTCTGCCATTGATCGGAAATCAGGAAGGATTGTGTCTAAAGGCTAACTCTGCCCCCAAGGATCAGACCTGGAATTTGGAGCCTTACATGAATATCTTCCCATTTCCCATCTCATTCTTACTGACTCTCCTTCAGCCTTCCCTTCTCCCCTTTGCAATCAGAGTTTCTCTTTACAGAAGTCAGAAAGGTTTATCAGAAAAACGTTTAGGCTGCTTTTTAGCTCAGTGCTTGAAATGAAGTGGGAAGATGTAAATGAACATATATTCCTCTGTACACATACACAGAGCGCACACACACACAGCACACGCATGCATGAAGCCACCTACCCTCCAAACGTGTGCTCTGGGTATGTGTTAGGGTTAAAGCCAACCCACAGATTTTCACTAGGTGTGGGGCAGCCACCAGGCACCTGTTCAGTGAGCTTTCTACGTGGGCTTAAGATGTTTGAGAAACACTGAAAACTCATGGCTTCCATGGCGAACTTGCTGGTCTCCATTTCCAGGGCTAATTCTGAGCTGCTGTAGAGCACAGTCTATCCCCTCTTTGTTCTCTCTGGTTGAGAGCAGTTAACCCGCCTCTCAGGGGGAAAGAGGAGACAATGCACTTTCAGCTTCGCTGTGCCCACATGCGAGTGTGCATCTCCACTGCAGTGTTCCAGTTTCAGTGGCGTTTCCAACCAAAGTGTAGGTCTCAGAGCATTCCCATTGTTTAGCAGAAAACTGAGAGTGCGTCCCACCTCCAGCTGGACTTCTCACTCCACCTTGACAGCTGCCACCTGCCTTCTTGCCTCATCAGTTCTGGGGGGCGCTGGTTTCTGTGTGGGTTTTATGGTGGTGGCTTTGCTGTTGTTTTTGTTTTGCTGTTGACATTTGTTTTTGTTTCTGACACTCATATAGAACTTACTATGAGCCAAACACTGTATTAGGTATTATATAGGGATTCATTCAATGAGTCCTCAAGAAAAAGAAAAAAACTGTGACTCTTCCCATTTTCAGATAAGGAAACTGAAGCACAAAACAAGCAAAGTAACTTGCCAAGGATACCCAGTTAGTAAATCATGGGGCTGGAAGTCACACCCAGCCAGGCTGGCCCCAGGGGCTGTGCTCTCAACCCCTGCACTAAATTGATTCTTCCAAAGGCCTCCTAACTGGACATCTTACATTCCAGTCCCACTCCCCTGAGTGGCCCTTCAGCCACTCCAAGCCATTTCTGGTTCCCAGACTAAATTGTTTTCTCTCACTAGTTTTTCTTCTGCCGCTCTCCTCTTTTCTTCTGGTCACTCCTCAGGACCAAGTGCAAAAGTCATCCCCACCATGTAAGGCCATTACACCTTTAATGGCCTCCCTCCAACTCCCCACCATGCCCCACATAATAGGTCACACCCTTCTCTGTGCTTTCTGGCACTTTTTAAACATTTTCATTACTACGACTAATGACCATTACTATAGTGTATCAGAATAACTTATTTATGTGTCTGCCTTTCCTAGCATTTTTCCTCAAAGACAAGAACCATGTCTTACCCATTCTCTGGGTAAGTGCCTAGCATGGTGGCCGATGCTTGGGAGGGTATCATTAAATGTTGGTCAAAAGAACAAGTGAGCATTCAAGGGGGTGGAGAGCAGTCTGGGAACAGCCGACGTTTTGCATACTTCCCAACACCAGCATCATCACCACCAACAACTCAACGAAAAAAATAACACCTTTATTAGCCTCGACTTATTCCAGTATTTTTCAGTCTCCTCTGTGACCTGATTAGCAACAACATTTCCAAGCTCAAGGGCTAGGCTTGATGCAACCACTCCTTTCAGAAAGACCCACCTAGGTTAGGCCCCACTGTGAAAGCAGCCTGTTGTTCTAAGGGAGGCATCCTTTCCAGTGGCTAGAAAACCACTGTGAGAGAAGCCCAAGCCAGGGTTGACCAAGGATGTGCCATTAAGGTAAAGAGGTGCAGATCATGGCAGACGGACTTTGGCCGCATGGATGGATGGTTTGCCCTGCTTCTTCCAGGGCGACTGGATACACTGGAGGACGTTGAGGCCCTCAAAGCCAAAGACAGGATACAAATGGCGCTCCAGAGAGGCTGGCTGTGGGGCAGGACTCTAGGCTGGCAACATCCAGTCTCAGCCTCCCGTGAAGAAGGACGAGGTGGAGCTGGCCCATCACCCACTTGGTCACAGGGTTCCCACCTTTGCTTCCTGTTGAGACAAAGGCCAGGAGAGGAGCTGCAGTGAGCTCTTGACCCTCCAGCTGCTCCACAGAAAGGCCTGCAAGAATGCTTCCAGACCAGGCCCTCAGCCAAACGACTCTGTGAGTAAAGGGAGGTTGAGGACGAGAAGGAACAAAAGAGTACCCACGTTTCCAAGGGCATTCCTGAAACAGGACTCCCGGTAATTCTTCAAGAAAAGCAAAGATGATCTGAGGCAATTGGAACTGTTGCCAAAGCAGCAGTGAAATGGACAGAAACAGGCCCTGTATTTCCAACAGTGATATTGATCTGAAATAAAAGTTCCCTTCAAAATGCCTCTGAGGTCTGACATTTCTGCTTGGCCCTAGGACTCTCTGTATTGCTCCCTGTGTACAGCCTGGCCGCATAAGTGGAGAGGGAGATGCTGGATTTGTGTATCACTGGTTGTCAGCTCCTAACGTTGTTAAACCTCACACAGGTGTGCTAGCCTTGAAATATAGAGTGTCACATACCTGAGTTTGAAAATAAAAGCACATTTCCAAACTTTTGGCAGCAGCTGAATGCCTCCTCATTTTGTGGAGCTGGGCCACAACCCTGCCCAACCCTGAATTAGAATCTACTTTTGGGTAACAGTGCCTCCCAGAAGTCCCCAGCCCTCGGGTCACTATGGGCTCCCTCCCAGGGGCTGGATCAGTTCCTCTCCTTCTCATCCTCATTCCTGATCCTAGTTTCCTGTATCTTCCTGGCCTACGTTTTTTTGTTTGTTTGTTTCTTGTTTTTTTGTTTTAATTCATACATTTTGCTGTGATAAGAGACTGTTAAGTTTTCACCAGTCTGATTTCCACATCTAGATTTTATTTTTTTTTAAGATTCTTTCAATGTGGACCATTTTTAAAGTCTTTCGTTGAATTTGTTACAATATTGTTTCTATTTCATGATTTGGTTTTTTGGGTACAAGGCACGTGGGATCCTAGCTCCCCGACCAGGGGTCAAACCTGCACCCCCTGCATTGGAAGGTGAAGTCTTAACCGCTGGGCCACCAGGGAAGTCCCTAGTTATATTTTTTAGTCTTTTCTTGCAGCTAGGGGCAAGGGAATGCAGACCTTCCAGATCCAAATTCCTACATAGACTCTCCTGCCCAGTACTTTATATCCTCTATATTCCCCCTTCTGCCTGCCAAATTCAGAGCATGCAGTTGAGGACCTGAGGCCCGAGAAGTTGGTGGGACCACCAGGTGGAAGCCAAGTCTTTGAATGGGCGCTCACAGAATTCAACGGTGACATGAGCAAGAAATAAAATTTTAGTATATAAGCCACTGAAATTCAGGAATGTTTGTTATAGCCATTAGCCTACCCCAACTAATGCATACAGAACCAGAAACAGGGTACTTAAACAACAAATTTTCAAAATATGAGACCCTGGCTTTGCAGTCAAGTGGCAGGAAACCAGAACACTGATATCAGGGACTAGAAATATGGTGACCTATGTTGTGAAGAAAACAAAAATATTTGGTAAAATCGTACCCATGGTAACTTGAAAGACAGTCCATGGGCAGCCTATAGCTCTAGGAGAAGTGACTGGAAAGAATCAGAGCGTTGGAGTGTGTGAACCTTTATTGGCTGCCTTTTGAGAGGTACTGCGAGAAAAAGAAGTACTTGGGAAAGAAATGGCTATTTGGAAACAGAAAGGAAAGAGGATATAGAGTTCTTAGACTGAGGCTTAGAAAACCTGACTCCTTCTAAACCCCAACCAGACTGAAAAGAGCTTGAGTGAAAAAGAAGCAATAAAACTTTTCAGCTGAATTAAGATCAGAGCAGCCCTATGGTAAAGGCCAGATTAAGAATATGGCCCTTTCATCTGTGGTTTCTAATGAACGCAGGGTAGCCGCCACTAAATTAGAGAGGGGGCAGCATAGGGCTGAGGAAGAGAAATACATCTTGAGAATTGTGACTGGGAAAGGATTTGGGGTGTGATTATTGTATATGGAATCAAATGGAAGCAAATAGATCAGAAACCTAAGTTTGTGAGGGAATTGTATTTATTGTACAGAGATACAAGCCAGGACTAAAAACTCCTTTGATTGTTAAGTTAGAAAACAACTTTTGGGATCCTAAGCTTATATCAGCAGAAAGCAGATTGTACAAGCTGTGCTACCCCCAAGGAGCCCGTACTCCCTAATTCCCACCACAAATGTGGCCAAGGAAGATTCTATCCAATGAAGGTGGACATGGGACGTGAGAGTTTCTCCTAGAAAGCAGAATCATGATCTAATCAAAGGTAGGTAACTGTGGTTGGCAAAATTTCTAAAATGCCTCCCCTCAAGATGTACCCCCTACCCCAATCCCTGGAACTTTTGAACGTGAGACATCACTCCTGTCATGTTACATGGTGTGGTTGACTTTCAGTAGGGAGACCCTTTCTGGTTCTTTTTGTCCCTTCCTGTCTTCCTTCCTTCTTCCTTTTTGTAATACTTTATCAAATGCTTGAAGGCTAACTGTCTTTCAGGTGTGATGCTGGCTTTAAGGATAATGACGAAGAGAACACAATTGCTGCTTTCCTGTATCTCTGGCTCCATGGTGATAGAGGAGTCATGTATATTTCTGAGGTCCCCGTAGCCTAGGTCTTGTGCTCGCCCAAGTAGTGAGGTCTAAGCTACAGCTATTTAAGGGATATTCCCCTGGTCCCTTAGAAGCTCTCTATGTTTGTGCAGAGCAGATTCTCCTCTCATTATTGCTGTCTTCCACACCAATATCTAACTTTATGACCAATAACTTTTGTATGGGAAAGAACTAGTTATCCATACACTATTCCTATAAATGACATTCCTTTTGGAGAAAACTAATAACCCTTTGCCCAAGGCATTACTCTCAAGCCAGAATTCCATAATTGCCATGGAAGATAAACCACTGAAACTCTAGCAGGGGAAACAGAGAGTGCAGACGGCTTGTGCACAGTGCAGATAAATCTCACATTCATCAAACAAAAAAGAGGAAGTCTAAATTGAATTTTCACCTACCAGAATATGAGAAGTTATCAAAGAGAGAGTTATTATATAAAGGACCTCTGTGGTGACCACTATTGTAAAGTATTAAATGACTGATTTTGTAAATTGGCCCCCTAGCCATGTTTTGCATGAATTTTAAAGTGTCTGGTTTCTTTGAAGCAGGAATCACCTGTAGCGGGGTAGAAATTTCAAACATATAAAGAAATCCTGAAGGGAAGCATGAGGACTCTGTCCTTGGTATTTAAATAATCATTCATTTTCATGAGCCTCGGCCTCATTCCCCCACAGATCACAAGGATATGCAGTCGGAAATAAAAAAAAAAACCCACTGATAGTGGGAGGAAAGGCAGCACAATCCATGCTCAGTTTCCTTTAGAGACAGAGGCATTCCTAAGAGTATATAAATGAGCGGGCTCCACGGTCAACAACGAACCTCAACCTCGTAAGCACTGAGCTGGCGGGGGAGGGAGGTGGTGGCAGGGAATATGGGAATTGGGGAAACCTTCAGCAGTTCACCCTGTGCTATCTGCCTTCCTCGTTTGTGTGTTTTCTGAGTCAGCATTAGCTAAATTTTCCAGAAAGCCATCCACAAAGTACAGCCTGGGCATTCAAGGGACGTCACTCATTTCCCCTAGTGACCTTGACAAGTCAGAAGCTTGAAAGCAGGGAAATCCGGATGTCTCAGTTATGAAGTGGAGCCGTGTGGGCCCCCACTTACTTCCAGAAGTCTCCATCCAGGCTGGTGATCGTCTGCCTCTGATACTGCTGGTGCCCATCTGAGGTGCCCCTCTGGCTCTGAAGGGGCTGGCGCAATGGCCAAGTACTTCAGCCTGGTGTTGCTTCTTGCCTCCGTCTGGACCACAAGGCTCCTGGTCCAAGGCTCTCTCCGCACAGAAGGTAGGTTTCTTACCAGATTGCCAACCTGAGGCAAGGCAAGATCTTGCAGATTGTCCTAAGACTACTAAGTTCTTGACTGAATTTCTGGGGTGGGATGGCGCTCAGTGTCGACAGAAGGTCTCATTGGTAGTATTGCTCTGCCAGAAATGTTTTCACCGTGTTGTCAACTTCACCAAAGTGATTCTCATTTACCTTTATGTTATCTTGACTTTTATTTTTGGTTATGGGATATTTTTAATGAGAATATTTTGAAACAAAACATTGAGGAGAAATCACTTGTTTTAAAAAGTGTTTCATTGAAGAAGCAAAGCGTGATTGTGAAAAATTTTAAGCAATCACCTAGCCTGGGGAAAATGGTTAACTTTCACAGAATATTGGCCTGTTTTATATTTTTGGCAGTGTCAGTATCATTATTTTTAATTTTACTATACTATCATGGAATGCTTATGTTTTTAATATGCAGTAAATAGCAAATTAACTGAAAAAAATCTGTGAAAATGTAGGTTTGAAAATTAGTCATCAGCTCGCTACCAAAGGAATGACTTGAAATGATTCCTGGGCTTTGGAGCTGCCTAAATGGTAACCTCATTCTGCACTGTAGGCAAAACAAAATTGTAACCACAAATCACTCATTGCAGCTCTGGGCAAATGAAAATATGAGCACTTTAAAAGGAAAATTATGTGTTCCTCTGTTGGAAGATGCCCTGAGGTATAAAATATGTCCGGAACAGGCATCCAGAGTTGATTCCGATATTGTCATACTCCATTTTATGAGGGAGGTTAGAGTTAATATGGTTGATTTTTTTTTTCAAATACCAGAACTGTTACTTTCAAATAAGTTTGGCCCTCTTTGACATCTCCCTGGGGAGACTATTCACTTTTCCCCAAAAATACTGCCATTAATCCTCAAACTATTATGGAAATTGTTCTTTGACATTGACTCAGCACAGTCTTTGGACCATCCTCAATAATGGCAAAATTTTCCTAAGGGAATTGAAATTTTGGAAACAACTGAAAGTTATACAGAGCCATGATTAGGGAAAAGGTAGTTGATGAAGGTGGATGGATGAGGATGGGTGCTAGTATTTTTGAGGGCCTATTTTTATGTACTATATATAGTATATAAAATATATATAAGAAATATATACATATATTTCTTAAGAAGACACTTATAGATGAAGGAACAGGCTCAGTGAGGCCAAGCAACTTGCCTAATGTCATGAGGGCAGTAAATAATAAAGCTTGGGTTTGAATTCAGCTCTGATTCCTAGGTATATACTGTTTCTACTATGCTTGTTGTTTCCTAAGAATGCTTGAGGAAGGGGTTACTCAAATATCACTTGGATTCCAGCTCCCTGTTTTTGCCCTTAAATAGGAAAGCATAAAATCTATGAATATTTGTTGACTGTCTACTGTGGACCCAGCCTCCACTAGGTACAAGTTATATAATTTTAAAATTCTGACAAAAATTCTGTAAAGAATATATAACCATCCCCCTTTTACAGCTGAGAATGCTAACTTGCCCAAGGTCCCACAGCCAATTAACAATAGAAGAAATATCCAAAGCTAGGTCTATTGCCAAGAATAGGTCTATCATTACTCATAACAATAATATTTAGAGTAAAAATGATGTATGATGAGAGTATCAAGACCACATTACAGTGTAATTAATATACCTTCTCTACAGGTATTCCCAAAGAAGCAGCCGTAAACAAGCTTATGAGTGAAATGGGCCAAATTCCAGGACAAATGGTGTATTCTGAGAGTTCAGCTCTAGTGGTGTGTGTGTGTATATGTGTGTTTGTGTGTGTGTTCATCTTCCCCCCACACTGCACAGTGGGAAGCAGAACAGCGTCCTAGTTAAGAACTGAGGTTTTAGTATCAATCATATTTGGGTTTGTGCCCCCAAACTGCCACCTAGTTGCTGTATATCCTTGGGCTCAGGAAAGTTACTTAATCTCCCTGAACCTCAATTTTCTGTCAAAAGAGACAGGGTTTGGCACAGAGTGGCATCTACAGGTGATAGAAGTTAGAATTAACATTGACATTAGTATTAATATCAGTGTTGGTGTAGGTATTAGTGTTAGTGCCCACAGTCATAAGAGGCTGTTCTGTCACAAACACTCATATTGGGTGTTGGCTCTCTGGTCTCTCTTTTGGTGAGAGCAGGGTCTGGAAGCAAACAAGGCTATCCACAAATACCATACATTTCCCTTCCCCCCAGCCCCCTGCTCCACAGCAAGGTCACATGGGGGACTTAGAAATGCTCCTTCCATGTTTGCAAGAAGAAACTTCCTTTAAATTTAGATACCACCTTAGACAGTGGTCAAAGCATTTGACAGTGCACAGATCTGTGTTCAAGCAATTACGTGGGAGATTGAAATGCCCCTTGGACTTTTGTGGATGAAGCCCAATTGGAACAAAGTACCAAAATGCAATGCAACTTTGCAATTTCATACAGGTCTATAAATCCCAGAACCCAGAGAGAAGGGATCAAAAGAATTCTCAGATTTGTTAGATTTTGAGTAAGATATTATTTACATCTTAACTCGGCAACTGCCTCAGCTTCCCTAGGGAGATCAGTCATTAGCAGACTAAAACCAAAGTGCTTTGAAGGTAACATAATGATACTATGTTATGATTTATTGAGTGCCTACTATGTGGCAGGCACTATGCTAAGCATTTGTATTTGAATTAACTCATTTAACTTTCACCACCCTATACAATAGATACTGTTATTCTTTCAACTTTCTAAATATGGAAACTGAGGCTCCAAGAGATGAAGTAACCAGCCTAAATTCACAGAGCCAGCAAGTGACACAGGCTAGATTCAAATCCAGGTCTGACTTTAAAAGTCTACTTCCTTTATTTAGTTTCTCTACCATGCAAGTTTTACTATCTGACTCCTCTAGGAACTTCTGAGTAAGCCTGCCCCCCAATGGTCAGAGAAGGTTCACTTTCTATTATACCAAGTGCAACATTTTTCAGCCCATCTCAGAAATAGTGCTGTCCCCAACAGACATTGGAGTATTGTTCACTATTCTGTTAACCAGAGCCCTGGATTCTATCTTTCTCAAAGTCTCAGACCCTTCATTTTATAGACTCCATAAAGGTTTGCAGAAGCTGCATCCCCTAGACTGCAGCCCGGGAACTGGTAGCCAAAGCCTCCACGTAATGAACAAGGAACCTGAGTGCAGTGAGGGACGATGGACTCGGACCTGGTGAGAGGTACAGCATGGATCCGGGCAAGCACCTTCCTAACCCAGCAGGTTGTCCTTGTGGAAAATGTCTGGTCTGTGTCCTATTATTTCTAAACCTCAATCCCAGCTGCTGCGTTGAGGCAATGATGCTCTACTAGGAAGGAGAGCCTGAGGGCTAGGGGCAAGGACAGCAGTACATTGAGGGCCTATGTGATTCCTTTGCAGAGCTTTCCATCTCAGGACCATGCAGAATCATGGGGGTCACTCTTGTGAACAAAAGGACACACCCGCAGCTGAATTTCACAGAAGCCCAGGAGGCCTGTAGGCTCGTAGGACTAACTCTGGCCAGCAAAGAGCAGGTTGAAGCAGCATGGAAATCTGGCTTTGAGACCTGCAGGTGAGAAACAGCTGGATTCACAAACACTGTGGGAGCTCTTTTGGCTCTGTGCTCTTGTTCAGCAACAGAGATCAATGCATCCACTCAGGTCATGTGTATTCTGTTACAGCTATGGATGGGTTAAAAATCAGTTCGTGGTCATCCCTCGGATTATCCAGAACCCCAAGTGTGGGAAGAACGGAGTGGGCGTCCTGATTTGGAGAAGTTCACTCAACCAGCGGCACAGGGCCTATTGTCACAACTCATCTGGTGAGTCAGATCTGCAGCCTCTCCACGTGGCATGTTTTGTCTGGATTTCAATAGCTCTATAACCATTCTGAGAAGAGTAACCCTGAGCAGTAGCAGAAGCAATCATGGTGATGGCCACTGAATCCTCCCAAGACTGCCTCTTTGACCAGGGTAGAGGTGTCCCTCTCAGAGCAAAAAGTTAGAGAAAATATGACAGATTGGCAACATAGGGAGAGGGCATCCCTGTAGGCTCCATTACCCACCCCACCTTCATCCTACAAGTTAAACAGGACGAAGGGAGGGAAACATCCACTATGGACAAAGCAAGGTACTAAGTTATCTCGCTGAACCTTGACAATCTCCATAGGAGGTATGCTTTATCATCCCTATTTTGCAGAGGACATAAGTACATTCATCTAAGGTCTCCTTACTATGAAGATTCACACATAGATCTAACTCTTTCCTTTATCTCACATTCCTTTACAGGAGTGGAAATTCAGATGCTATATTAGATGTTTTTAAGAACAAGACCCAATTTTCATTTTAAGAAGGAAGGAATTAAAGCTAGAAAATAGAACTGATTTGCTCACAGTCAGCCCTTTAACCTTCTTGGGAGACCTTGGAGGCCTTAGCCCAAGTGCTTTACCTAAGTAACTTCTCAGAAAGTTTTTCTTTGACTAAACACTTGTTCTCACTTTATCATAAGAACCTCTGTCTGATTTATTACTCTTCACACATACTCATAAATCTGACCTTCTAAAGGTCAGATGGGTCAGTGGTCATTCTCTAAGATCCGAGAGATAAAAGTGCACCCGCAGTGTTCTGTTGCCCAAAGGCAGCATAAGGTCCAAGAGGTTCTGTGAACCAGGGAGCCTTGGCCCAGGAAGGGCCGTGAAAGAGACTTTGTCCACTTCGCTCACTTCATGGATGAAACGACTGTAGCTCAGAATGGAGGTTTGCCTTATTCAAAGTCTTACAGTCAGCTAGAGGCCGAGTGAAGACTGGAACATAAGCTTCTTTCCATATTTTTTTCACCATCCTCCTCCCCTCACCTCCACCGCCTATCACTTTTGACTGCGGAATTCGTGGTTTGCATGCTTGCTCATCTGACGGCCAGTCCATGCCGGTCAAATGGCCTGGCCTTTTAACTTCCTGGCCTTCCTGCCAGCTGTCAGTGCAATGATAGGACACCCAGCCCTATGGACTAAATGAAAAGGAGTCAGGGGAGATGACTTGGATTTGCATGCTTCCTCGTGGTTTCATTTCACTTGTATTTCCATTCCCTGCGCTTCCTATATACTTAAAGTTAGGTGTAGATTCATGTTCACTAGGTTTGGCAAAAATACTGGATAGATGATATTGTGTACTTTAGATCATATCCCAACAAAGGGCCCTTCATGTAAGTGTGTCCCCCTATTACATGCTAACTTTGATCATTTGAATAAGACGGTGACTGCCAGACCTCTCTAATGAACCAGATGTGTTTTCCCCTTTGCAATGAGGAGGTAACCTATAGTGTGACATTTTGGCACCATGTAAATTGTCTGACCCCCCCAATCGTCTTTTACCTGATAGTTCAAGCAGACATTGATGATCCTAGCTGGAATCAATTATTATATGCAGGACTGCAAAATGGTAATTTTCTACATCTATTCTTCCTTCTACATTTGTTAGCTGGCATTCTTTGATAAAGAAGAATCTCTCTCTCTCTCTGTCTCTCTGTCTCTCTCTCTCTGTCACACACACATACACACACACACACACACACGCACACACACACACATGTCCTCCCTCCCCTTTATACTACCATGGACATGTAGCATTTTACTTACTCTGTGTTCAATATGTTATAATCAATTTTACAATTATTATTCTTTTTGATGCTCAAATTGTCCGAAATTTGGCGAGTGGGAGCCCCTTCTAGTTGACTTTTGTTTTCATCCCATTAGTATTTGAGCAATTCATTGCTTTCTGGCATGATAACATGTCCCAGGCTCACTTTGTACTTTCTTTATCCCACACATGGAATCAGCCATTTATTTCTCCAAGGGGCCTTGGTTCTTTTTAGTAGAGAATGTTGATTCGAAACCAAGATCTGCATGCAAGTTGTTCTCATTACTACTCTCATTTTCAATGCTTCTCAGTCCTTTTTAGTGGGCAGCTAGGAAAAAATATACATATATATATTGCATTTGCATTGATATTTCCAACTCAACAGTTCAAGTTTTTTCTTTGTTTACTTTGTTCTATACTTGCATGTTTTTTCTCTTATATGGAAAATTCTTGTTCCCAATAAATAATATATTTTCTTATCCTACAATAATTTCAAAATTATAAAAACAGCATTATTAGGAATAATAAACCTACTGAATGGAATTTGCAATTCCTTTGCATTTCTTTTAGTCCTCAGAAGACATCCCTCTAAGGATGTACTGTCAGAGAATTGTGTACAAAAGTGACTTGAGAAAATTTGCTACCCTGTGTGGTTATGTTATCATTTTGAAATAAATCAGGTTCACCTGCTTCTGTTTGCCATCTTTGTGAGGAACAGAGTTACCCTAGCCCTCATCGTCACACTAACCTAGACTTACCCTATGCTTCTTTGTTTTTGTAATTTTCTTTTTTATTGCTATCTTGTGAGCTCTGAGGATCCCAGTAACCCTAAACCTGACCCCAAACCTTATCCTGTCTTTCTTACTGCTATCTTTGTGAGCTTTGGGCATCAGACCAAAGTGTTTCTAATGCTCGGCGTGCACCACCTGTTTCATGTTGTTCCCTCTGCCACAATGCCCGTCCTCTTCATCACCTGGCTAACTTGTATTCTTTATTCAAGTCTCAAGTACCGTCTTCTTCAGGCAGCCTTTCTATACCACTGACCCCTATCTTTCCTCTTGGACACCAACCACACTGTGTGTTTAATATCTATCAAAGCATTCAGCACATTCTAGAGAAATTATATTTGTAGTTTGGAGGGAAGGAGAGCCAGGTCCTAACGCTTCCAGGTGAGACACATTGTGCCCCCGACCAGTAAGGGACCACGGGATCAGATTGCCGTTGCTCCCTCACACGGCGGCCTTCCTGGCTACACTTTATGAACAGAGAGGCAAAGGAAACTAATTCTTACAGATATTACAGATTATGCCATAGATTCTGCTAGGCCCTACACATTTACTGTCTCGTTAATCCTCAGTGAAATGATACAAGTGTACCACTTCCACTTTCCAAGAGAAGTAGCTGATGCTTAGAGGGTGATATGCTGTGGCAACAATCAGTAAGGGACAGAGCCAGGATTTAAACCTTGGGCCCTGCCACTTCCACGTCACCTGGTGATGACCACACGTCAGTAATATACCAGGCCGAGGGTGGGTCCTTCACATGAGTATTTTTTTAAAGTTCCCCAGATGATTCTAACCTGCAGCCAGAGTTGAGAACCACTTTTCTCTAGAAGATCTCTAAGATATAAGTTTTAGAATTCCAGACAGTTCCGCGTTCTCCCATTTCTGTGCAATTGCAATAGTCTCCTTCTTGGCTCCTGGTTGCCCTTTCTCCCATCTCTATTTCATCCTCCACACACCTCCTCTGATGATTACGTCCCTCCTCTTCTGCACAGCCTTGGGTGGCTTCCTATCAGAGAATCTGATGTGAACTATGAAGACTTGTGCACATAAAACTGGGCACATATGAGAACTTCTGTATATCAGTTGGAAGGTCTGCTGCCCCCAGTTGAAAATTCCTTCTCCTACAGAATAAATTCCAAATTCTTTACCATGGCAATTATGACTCTTGATATACTGGCTCTGACCTATCTTCCCAGTCTCATCTCCTACTTGCAGTTTTTCCTGCTCCCCATCATGCGTACACCCTACACGCCAGCCACATTGTGCTCCTTGTCATTTTCTGACATACCTACACTTTCAAACTTCTGGATTCTTGGGTCACGCTGTTCTTATTGACTGGGATATCCTATTCCCTCTTCCATACTAGACGACCTGGAGCTCTATTCCAGCCATACCAGCCTTCTAGTCATCAAACATGCTGAGATTATTCAAATTCAGGCTCTTGAACTTCCTGTTCTCTTTACTTGGAATGCTTTTGCCCTAGATCTTCAATGACTTGCTACTTTCCATCATTCAGGTTTCAGCTTAAGTATCACCTCCCCAAAGAGACTTACTCTTATCACCTTATCCAAAGTATCTGTCCCCATTCCTGCCCCTTCCAGTTTGATCCTTATCCTGTTTAATTATCTTCTCAACATTTATCATCCTCTGAAATTTCTGGCTTTTTTTTTATTATTATCTCTATCCTTCTTTCCAATAACACATAAGCCCTTACGAGCAAGGACTTGGTCTTATTTGCACCACATCCCTAGCATCTAGCACAGCACCTGGCACAGAGCCGGAGCTCAATAAATATTTGTTGAATGAGCGCATTAACCCTCCACATCCTGCTTATGCCATCTCCTCTGTGAATTCCCAGTTATCGCCCCCTAGCCTCATCAAAATACTTCTGTCCTCTTGGAAACAGGAATCATCCCTTATTTGTCTCTGTATTCTCAGTTCCCAGCACAGTATATCGTGTTCAGTATACTTTTCCCCTGATATTAAAAAAAAATGTTCATTTTTTTGAAGGAAGTATATAGCACCTGCTTAAGAACGGGAAACGTAGCTAAAAATCCAGTGCGGCATTGGTGGTATAGTGGTGAGCGTAGCTGCCTTCCAAAGTCTAGGGCAGAGGTCAAGGATGATGCCTATTTGAATAGAGGTCTTTTCAAAATGAAATGAATAGTATAAAATATTGACTGAATGCATGTGGTGTCAAAATGTTTTATCATGTTTACCATGGCCTTGGTTGGTAACTTTTACTTCATTTTCAAAAATAATAGAATAACTTCTTCTTCATGGCTAACATTCCAGCTGATGCTACCCACTATCACAAATAACTAGAGATTTAAAAGAGATGCAAATGCATATTGTAATATATTGCATGGCTCTGCCATTTACTGGCTATGTGATTTTAGGCAAGTTATTCAATTTCTCTGAATTTCAGTTTCTTCCTGTATAAATGAGGGTTTTATAAAATTGTTTAAGGAAGTGCCATGGTTGACTCAGAGCAAGATGTTCAACAAATATTAGTTTCCTCTCTACCGCATTCAACAGATCGGAGAGCAAACCTACATCCCTCCGGTCTCCCACCTCCTTTAAAAACAATTTTTTTTTTAATGAGCACAGAGAAATCTGGTTTTAGTAGATCTCTGTCCTCAAGTGGTGTCATGTGTGTATATTTGGTCTCCCCATCTACTCCTTTCTTCATTTCACTTTTCCTTCCTTCCTTTAGACATCAAGTATTGAGCATGTACTATGTGCCCGCCACATTGCACATACCATGATGACCAAGACAGACAGGAATCCTGCTTCCAGGGAGCTCACAGTCCAGTGGGGAGCAGTGTAGTGAGAATCATGACAAGGGAAGTACAAGGAGGTACAAGAATGTATGTCTAGGGATCCAATCTGGTCTTCAAGTCTGCCTAAGAAAGAGATATTCAGTCTGAGACCTGAGGGACAAGGAGGAGTTAATAAAGAGGGGCAAAGAGTCTTACAAGTGAAGAAAGCATTCAGGTCAAAGTTTTGGATGTTAGAGAAAGCATGTCAAAGAACTGAAGGAATTCTAGCATGGCGGGGGAACGAGAGAAAGACCGATCAGGTGAGGCTGGCCGTGTCAGCAGGGGCCAGATCATGGAAGGCCTTATAGGCTGTGCAGTACAGGCAGTCAGGGAAGGATTCTAAAGGAGGAAGTGATATGATTATCTTTACATTTTTGTAAGACCATTCCAGCTGCAGTATAAAGAGATCAGAGGAGAGTAAGACTAGAGACAGGCAGACCCATTAGGAGGCTATTGCAATACTTCTTTCTTATTTCACTTTTCCCTCCCCGGACAGATACCTGGGTTAACTCATGCTTTCCAGAAATTATCACCACCGATGATCCCATATTCAACACGGAAACTGCAACATACACAACAGAAATGATTGTCAGTGAGAGTACACACTCAGCGTTGTCTACTGATGGACCTGAGTCTATTACACCCACTGTGGCTCCTGCTCTGGCTTCCACTTCTATTCCACGGAAAAGAAAATTAATTTGTATAACGGAAGCTTTTATGGAAACGAGCACCATATCTACAGAAACTGAATCGTATATTGAAAATAAAGCGGCATTCAAGAATGAACCTGTTGGGTTTGGAGGTAAAAACTTTCTGTCTGCATTATGTGTATGTGTTTGAGTGTGTGTGTGTGTGTGTGTGTGTGTGTGTGTGTGTGTGTGTGTAGCAGACAATACATAGAAACTAGCCTGTATCCAGATTGGGCACTCAGGACCTGACAAATACAAATAAAAGCTTAATGCAAATTCAAATTTCATAAAGTCCTAGAACTTGAGGTCTCTAAAGAACCTTAATGATTAAACTAAAAATCATGAGTCTAAAATAGCTTCACTTTTAAAACGCAAAGACTTTTCAGAATAAATTACTATCTATTCATATGCAGAAGTTTTTAAAGTACATACACACACCTTAAATGCCTATGATTAGCAAGTTAGTTTTCCTATTTAAAGGGTCTTACACTTGATTTGCTCCAAACTTGTCACCTCAAGGCCACAGAGAGGAAATGGACTCTGTCATATTGCAACTTATAGAGTAGGGAGAGCATGAGGCAAGGCCAAGGATTCTATAGGCAGGAAGCAAAGAAGCTCATGTGGGCCCAACGCCGTAAGTGGCCCCTGTGTGGTCACAGAGAAGGCTCTTCTGCTCTGTGGTCTCCATCACGTGTAAGGATGAGTCATTAGAAGAGCGGTGCACAGTAATGTCTACATGGAGGAACAAGGCGCGGTCTCTGTCTCCCCCAGGTGTTCCCACGACCCTGCTGGTGCTTGCACTCCTCTTCTTTGCTGCTGCAGCTGGCCTCGCGGTTTGCTACATCAAAAGGTGGGATTGTTGGCACATGGTTAGTCTCGTCATCTTTGTCACATCCATATCTTGTGTTTATCCAGGGTTTTTATCGACATTTCCTTCGTCCAGATGGAGATGGTAATCCTCTTATACTGTAAATGTTTTCCCTCACCTCACCTGTCCTCCCTACTGCCCAACCTTGCCTTTATTTCAGCACTTGTATGTTATCCAGCCTTTAGATACAGGTCAATGGCTGTCCCTTCGAATATCAAGAAATAAAAAGAAAAGATTGACATCTAGGGAAAAACGGATATGCTTTATTTGGTTTTCAATTCTTTGTTTTTGACGAGAGGGTGTTAAGGCCAGCCTAAAGTTTTGCCTGCAAACTTACCGTCCTAGCTAAATGAATCCATCCAGGTGGGGATGGTTAAAGTATTTGAGGGTGCATGTGTTAGCATCTCTCTGAAATAAAAGTACCCAAGGTACTATGCCAATATGGGCCATCACAAAACATTATCTGTTGTTCTATGTGTTACGTAGTAGTCTCTCACTTTAATTTTGTGTTTATGCCTACAGGTATGTGAAGGCCTTCCCTTTTACAAACAAGAACCAGCAGAAGGAAATGATAGAAACTAAAGTAGTGAAGGAGGAGAAGGCCGATGATAGCAACCCTAATGAGGAATCAAAGAAAATGGATAAAAAACCCGAGGAGCCCAAGAGTCAACCCAAAACCACAGTGCGATGCCTGGAAGCTGAAGTTTAGATGGAAGCTGAAAGAAATAAGAGGACACACCTGAGGTTGTTTTCCTTCCTGATACACATCCTGGTCCCAGATGGGGAGCCTATAAAAGGTCCAAAGAACCAAACAAGCAAGTCTACCCTTGGTCCCTAACTAGAGTCAGCTCAGGGCTACCTTTGGACTCTGGAGTTCACCAAAGGGAATTCCCTTTTCCTTATTGCAATCCTTTCTGGATCCTACCCTCCTACCTCCAAAGCTTCCCACAACCTTTCTAGCCTGGTTATGTGCTAATAATATCCCAGTGGGAGAAAGGAGCTTGTGCAAAGCACCTGGACCTCAAACAGCTAATCAGAACCTGTTTGTCAAGAGGCCTTTAGGCTACCTGAGAATAGGTGAGCTGAGAGCCAAGAAACCATTGAGATCAAGGCTTTGTCTATTGATTGACTCTACAGCCCAGATCCTTTCTTCAGCTCTGGAAAGGAAACACTTATACCATCTGGCATGTCCTTCTGAGCCAGGCAAGAGAAAAAGAAGGAAGGAAAAGTTTAGCAGCTGAAGGACATGGAGATTCCCGTGACTTGAGACCTAATCTCTGTAAAACCAAAATAAATAGAGAAAAAGGATAAGGCTGAGGATATTAGCAGCATTTGTCAGTAGGGACTGTAAATACAGACAGGGTCAAAGTGTTCATCTCTGAATAATTCTAGTTGGAATCACTTTTTAGAACTTATACACACTTACTTTTCTCTCTCTCTCCTGCTGCTGCTATTTTCTCTAGAAGAACATACTTTCTAGGGAAAAGAAAGTATATTCTTTTCTCACCCCCCAAAAAAAAATCTCTGAAAAATTTCTATTTTTATCAAGTTATAGAAATTATTACTGAATAAAATTACTGTGTTAAAAAGCAGTAAAATTTAATAAACATTTGCTGAATGCCTACTATATGTCAGGTACTGTGCAAGTTATTACATTCTATAATTGAAGATTATTAATAAAAAATTGCATATAGTAGAATGTATGAAGCTAATTTTTTTCAATGTTGATATCCCCAGCTTTCCACTTCCAAAACCAATTTTTTTTTTTGGCTGAGACTAATCTACTCATTATTTTCTCGTGACTATGGCAACAATTATAGCCTTAATTTATTATTAACATACCTAAAAAGTACATCATTACCTCTATACACCAAAGTACATTTTTTAGATGTCATTACCAAATGTATCACTAACTCTCCTTTTTCCAGCAAAAGGAGTCTGAGAGGTGCAGAAATATTTGTGCTGAAAAAATAAAAGCATTTAGAAAATTCCTTTGCTCTCTTATTTACATAGATGCATTATACCTTTCGTGCAAAATTGAAGTGATCTGTTGTTTGCAAAAGTAAGAGAGACAACTTTGGTAGCTGAAATACATTTGTAAACCCAAGAGTATATATATCACTATGTGAGGCTCTTCTTGCTTCAGATGGTCTTATTTTAAGTAGGTCAAGTATACACACATAAATTAGTCCTTTACTTTGGATTCAGGTTCTACATTCCAATCTGTTCCAGAGTTCACAGGAAGCTGGAGATTCAGATAGCTCCTTTGTCCTGTTTCTCTAACTTTCTCTCCCCCTCTCTCTAGTCTTTCTCTCTGAGATTGCTAATATCTTCTTCCCCTCACAGTTAGCCCCACAATTCCATGATCCTTTCAACTCAGAGGCCATAACCTGTTGGCATAGTCTTTTATGGTTGTCCCACAAATATTAAAATTTGGCTTAATTGCCAAGCATTAAACATCAAGAGAATTCATATATTTGTATTTCCGTTCCCTTGAAAACTGGCAAGATCTGGAGCTAAAGAACCCATATTCCCTCATAGCCATAATTACTAATACTGAGCAGTGACTGCCCCCTTTAAATGGGAGATGCTTTCTCCACCTCACCACAGTCCTCACCACTCTCTATAGCAACCTCACACCAAAGTAAAGGTGCCATTTCCTATGGATTTTATAGTACTATTGCCTTTTTTTCCACACCCAGCCCATTCCACTCATTTACAACCTACCTGGCCCTGAGGTCTATGAGTTTAAAACTCTGATTTGTCAGTCCTTAAGCTTTATCAGCCTCAACCAGTTCTCAGGGAGTGAAGAAGAAAGGGAAAGAGCCTAACTAGTGGTCTTCTGTGTTTGCTAACTGGAAAACAATCAGAACTTCCACACTAGGTCTCCCACCCGTGAGCATCTACCGTATATTAGGATACTATCATCTTCTGTTAATTTAGACAAGAATATGCCCTACTCAGGAGGGCACATGTAATCGCTAGATAGACCAAATGTCAATTGCAAAAATACTGACGAAAATGTAAAACTTCCATCATTATGGAAAAAAGGAAGGAAGGAAGGAAGGGGGGGAGGGAGGGAGGAAACTATCACTTATTGAGCACCTACTAAGTGACAGTCATTTTCACATGTTGTTCTGTTTAACTGCCACATCTTCCTTGAGAAGGATTATTACTGTCATTTTTTATTAATTAGAAAGTTGGCTTTTTAGAGGAGTTAAGTCACTTTTCTGAGGTCACACGTTTAGTTAAGTGATAAAGGTAGGATTCAATCCCAGGTCAGAATGACCACAGAGCCCACACTCCTTTCCCTACAATACCAGGCTTTCCTTGCAGATGACAATGTAGGGATGTAAACCATTCCAATATGCAAGGTTGAAATCAGTCACTTGCCAAAAACCACAGAGGCAAAATAAGAAAGACAACTCAGGACTCTTGTCCCAACTTCAGGGAATTTTTCTTCAAAACCATTGAAATAACAAGGGAAAAAGAGAACCACTAAACAACTTTGAGAACTGCTCCCTCCCTGAGGCAGACACCAACCTCAGCAAAGACTTACCTGATCCAGCTCATATGATCAGAAAATGTAAGGCTCAGAAGGACCCAAGATAAGCTCCTCTAAACTCTCTTTTCTTAGCTAAAAAAAAATGGAGCCCAGTGTCACAGACAGCTAGAAGTAGAGCCTGTTCTAGAAGTTTCCTTCTTCCTAGTCAGATTCTCTTTACTCTCCATTGAACAAAGAGAAATTGGAAGAATATGAGGGGCCATCCCAGGTTAGACCTACAATGCAGCCTACCAAAGCCAGTCTTCAATCGAGGCAGGTAGACAGCCATGTGATTATATTTGCAGGTGGTGCAAAGGATTTCCCTGCCCAGAAATGACTCTTCTCTATGCCTGTGTCTCTGGCTCAAACATTACAGATCCACTCCTTTGGACAAAGGCACTCTGTGTTGGGAAGGAGTCCCTTGTAAAATTGCATGCTTTTTATAAAGTCCAGGCCAACTGTCAGATATTAGCATGCCAATGCGGGTCCAGTAAAGACAAGCTGATTTCCAAGGGCAGAAAGCAGGATTAAAGCAGATGGCTTGAGACCCAGCACATGCTTGCATATAGTGGGAGTTTCTAAATGTCCATTGGCTTGAACAGAATTGAATCATATTGACTTTCAAGCCAAAGAATTTTACATTTTATTGCCCTTCTCTAGACCTTTACCTAGTGCCCAAAGCAAAATCAGTTGCTCTGGGGAAGAACAGGTTTCTAAAGACAATAATAATAATATGCAAGTAAATAAATTCTTCCTAAGGAACAGGAGGGTCACTCACACACTAAAAAAGAAAACGTTTAAGTCTCCAAACAGGAAGAAAAGCAATTATTTGTCAGTTCAATCTCCTAGTTAAATGTAAATAAAATTTAGTTGTTTACCCTGTAATAGTCTACACGCAAGGTCAGGTTTGAGCTCAGAGCATTTTAATAATACTGAGGTCAGCTGGGAGCGCTCTTTTTTCCCTCTTTCCACACCGTACTCTTTGGAAAGAAGTCACAACGTATAGCCCATACTTAAGTAGGGGAGTTATGTTCTGCCTCCTTGAAAGTGGAATGTCTACATAAGTTATTTGGCATTCTCTTGCACATGATATTGATTTATTAATCTCCATTAATATATTCAATCACTTATTTCTATCAGTATGGACTCATGAATATTTATTTTCTACTTTAGTATAATCTAACTTTATGTAATTTTTTCTTTTTTTTTTTTTTTTTGTTCAAATTGCTCCAGCTTTGACCATTGGGAACTCTTTCCATTTGCTCCTGTGTCCCTTCGACCTACCCCTATCATTGTGTTTTTATTGGGCACTTCCTTACTTTCTGGTACTATACAATGATCCAGGAGTTAGACGGCAGAAGGAAGGAGACACCAGCTTTACACTACTTCAGCTATTGCCACAGGCAAGCATGATCGTGGAGATACTGGGCTTTTCTGTGGCAAAGTTCCAGAAGCTGGCCTAGCTTCATGGGTGGTGAGAGGCAACTACAGTCGTAGTAGCTCTCAGACTTAGTTTCTAAGCCCTTCCAACAATGTTGTAAGTACCTAATTCCCCTTGTTAAGGTTTTTCTGTTTAAAATAGTTGGAGAGGTTTCTTTTTGCTGCGAGGGAACACTGACAAAAACAAATGATTCTTGAACACATTTTACAATTTGGCCTCGAATCCTTATCTCAAATCTTATCTCCAGTCATTCCTGCAAAGACACTTCATGATGCAACTACACCAGAATATTTGCCATTCCAGAATGTAATCGGTGTTGTGCTCTCTCATCTTTGCAAGTGCTGTTCCTTCTGTTTCAATGACCTTTGCTTTTCTTCCTTATTGTATTTGTTATCTGTTGCTGCATAACAAATTACCCCTAACCTTAAGGGCTTATAATAACACTTATTATCTGGAGTTGTTGTGGGTCAGGAATCTGGGTATGGCCAACCAGGCCCTCTGCTTCAGGGCTCTCACAGAGCTGCAGTCAAAGCGCTGTATTCTTCTCAAGGCTCTTCTACGGGAGGAATCACTTTCGAGTTCATTCACGTGGTTGTTGGCAGGATTTAGTTCCTTGTTTGCTATTGGCCAAAGGCTGCCCTCAGCACTTTCCCATGTGGAACTCGCTATTGGGGCAGCTCACAGAATGGCAACTTGCTTCGTCAGAGCCAGCAAGGCTGAAGAGTCAGAGAGTGTGCTAGTAAGATGGAAATCATCTTTTACACCTAATCTTGGAAGTGATATCCTATTACTTTTGCCATATTCTATTCAATATAAACAAACTACTATGCCCACCTCACACTTAAGAGGAGGGGATTATACGAGGGCATGAATAAATACCAGGAGGTGGGGGATCACTGGGAGTCATTTTAGAAGGCTGCCCCCCACGACGTTAATGATTCTTCTCATTCCTTCTCTTTGCAACTTGTATATCTATGTTAGCATATGCCACGCGGTACTATTGTTACTTATGTTAGAAAAACTCAGTCTTCTTCCTGTGTGTCTTTCCTTTACTCTCACACTATTGCCACACTCACAGCACTTCTGACATCAGATATGTGTGGGGTTTTCTCCACAACAAGCATTTCTCTGGGACACCAGCTGGGTATCCTACAAGTTAACACAATTCTGATGCAGTCCACCTGGAGATAGTGTCAGAGGCCACAGGTTAAGGGTTCAGTTCTATGAGCCTGCCCCGCCCTCCTACTTCAGACACCAATCAAATTCCAGGTTGTTACCCATGCTTCTAAACCACTGGCTATAAAGCAGAGGTTCCCATGACCCCTTGCTCAGGTGATCAATTTACTAGGATGGCTCACGGAACTCAGGAAAACAGTTTGCTGTTTACCAGTTTATCTAACGGGATGTGATAAAGGACACAGATGCACATCCAGATGGAAGGGATGCACAGGACAAGGTATGTGGGAAGGGATGCACAGGACAAGGTATGTGGGAAGGGGCACACAGCTTCTATGCCATCCCCAGGTGCACCACGCTACCAGCACCTACAGGTGTCACCAACCTAGAAGCTCTCTGAACTCTGCACTTTGGGGATTTTTTTTTTTTTGCGGTACGCGGGCCGCTCACTGCTGTGGCCTCTCCCGTTGCGGAGCACAGGCTCCAGACGCGCAGGCTCAGCGGCCATGGCCCACGGGCCCAGCCGCTCCGCAGTATGCAGGATCCTCCCAGACCGGGGCACAAACCCATGTCCCCTGCATCGGCAGGCGGACTCTCAACCACTGCGCCACCAGGGAAGCCCCTTTGGGGATTTTTATAGAGGCTTCATCACATAGGCATGATCACTCATTAAGTCCATTTCCAGTCCCTCTCTGGAGAACGGGGGTGTGGCTGAAAGTTCCAAGCTTCCGATCGTGACTTAGTCTTTCTGATGACCAGCCACCATCTAGAAGCCTACCAAGAGTCACCTCATTAGAACAAAAGGCACGGCTATCACCCAGGAGAAAA